ATGACCACACAGCTTCTATTGCCATCATCAAACTAGTAACATCCTCTGAAACAGATATCCACTCTAGACAGTGGCGTAACGTTGCCTGTTGGCGCCCCCCTGCCGAAAAGGCGCCCCCCTGTTGGCGCCCCTCCCCTTTTGGTGCCCCTCCCTAAAATTGAACAAATTAGGTGATTTTAGAGGATACGCAGATAAAATCTCTAAAAAAGTGTGTATCTAGAGCAAAACGCGCAGTTTTGCTAGTACTTTAGTTAAGTTTTCGAAATTGTCCCACATTCAAACGACGATTTGGCGCCCCCCTAAGACGGCGCCCCCCTGCACAGCAGGGTCAGCAGGGCCCTTCGTTACGCCACTGACTCTAGAAGCTCCTCAAATGATAAGTTAGAATCCAGATCATGGTAAATGTTAGGTATAGTGTTACATCTGGACACCACAGTGGTCGATCTTACTTCACTTGCTGTAGCTAAACAGTCATTTAAAGAACCAATCTTGTTTGCCTTTGAGAGAAGCTCGAAACACCATCTCATTTTCTCATCAGGAAGCCCTTTTAAAGTTGCAAAAAGCTGATTAAACAAAAGTCTGTTTGAAGTAAAGCAAAGAGAGAGGTTCAAATTATCCAGCAGATACTCACAAGATACAGGAATATTAATTGAGCCCTGAACTTTCAACACTTCTAACAGCTGGTTACTCACAGTTTGTACCACACACTCTACTTCACAACCAGCTAGCTCTATCACCATGTCTAGCTTCTGTGTAGACAGTCTGTCTGCATTCTCCAAATACTTTTCTAAAAACTCCTGTTTCCAGTTCAACATTTCTATCTTGTTGATGCTGATTGTCAGGAAATCTTTGTTATTGAGGTTCTCAAACACAAAAGCTGCTTCTTCAAATAAATAGAGTAGTTCAGTATAGGATGGTATTTTAACTGATTCAGCAACTTTAGTAAAATACTCTGCACACTTTCCAACAAGCCAAGTAACCTCAAACACATTAGCTATCTTGTTGATGTCCCTGAATACTTCCCGGCTGATTCCCTCTGGAGTTCCAGAGTAGGCAGCATCAACAAACAGTTGAACAGCAGCTTCACTGAATTCTAACATGTCCACACTGGTCATGTGAAGGGTAGTGGTCATGTGATCTATTACTGGACTGTTAAAGGAGAGGATCACTGAACTGGCTCGTACCTCACCTCCCTCACTTGTGTTCAGTTTTAGGTTGCTGTGAGTTGGGGATCCTATCAGGTGCCTTCCAAAATCCATAGGTACACTTACTTTGGGTGCCATATCTCTGAAAAGAAAGTACAATTAATGATTAAAAATTCTATGATAGAATTGTAAATTGTAATAAAATGTGATGCATCCGAAGGAAAAGTAAGTTTAAAATTAGATGTGGAGAGTGAGCTCAAATTGAATATTTCGGTTTAGCAGTTAAACGGTAGGTTATTTTAGAAGTTTTGAATTAACTCAACTTTTAACATTTCTTTTGTAAGTACTCAGACAGTACGTACATTATCTGCCACCTAATTAATGAAAATACATCTCATAAAAATAATCAATTTAATGTTAATGAATAACATAAAGATAATCACAGATATCTTAAAATCAAAGAAAATATGTGACACTAAAAGTTAGACTAAAAGTATTAAAAGTATTTAAGAATGTACCCACTGTGGTTTGCTTTTTCAACAATCAAGTCATAATTAATTATGATAAATTAATGAGAGTATCACATCTTATACAACACTTTAAATCTACTTTTATCACTGTGACTAAAAATAGACTCCCATTGGTTTCTCTTGTCGACTGCATCTTTTGAATGAAGCCAACCTAACCAAGATATTGGATACACAAAAGTATCACCATGATATATTTCACAGATATAAATGTGCATATTGTCCGCCTGAACCTCATCATGAAAGTGAACTGACTCATTATTATAATCTTCCTTCTCAGTACACAGTCTCAAGGTCCACAATGCAGCTTCACTAGGGACAGTTTTCAGAATAAACCCACATTTACCAGGTAGATTACACGAAATAACTGAGGGGTGTTTGAAGTGGAACTTTAGTTTTGTTTCTTTGGACAGGAAGATAAGCGGCTGTTTACACGTGTCTACACAATTTATGACAACATGATTATTCTTCTTTCCTTGAGAAACCACAAGCCGTCCCAAGTTTAATTGCAAATCAGCAAAATTAACAAACCAAAGTTTATACGTACTAAATACTGATGGTAAAAGTGACCACCCTCGTCTGCCAGCTATGTCTACTAATTTAGTGAGCAATATATCAGTGTTAACTTTATAATTTATATTCTGATACTTGTATCTGTAACAGTTCCATGTCCACACAGCTTCTATTGCCATCATCAAACTAGTAACATCCTCTGAAACAGATATCCACTCTAGAAGCTCCTCAAATGATAAGTTACAATCCAGATCATGGTAAATTTTAGGTATAGTGTTATATCTGGACACCACAGTGGTAGATCTTACTTCACTTGCTGTAGCTAAGGAGTCATTCAAAGAACATTTCTTGTGTGACTTTAAAACCAGTTTAAAACACCATCTCATTTTCTCATCAGGAAGCCCTTCTAAAGTTGCAAAAAGTTGATCAAACAAAACTCTGTTTGAAGTAAAGCAAAGAGAGAGGTTCAAATTATCCAGCAGATACTCACAAGATACAGGAATATTAATTGAGCCCTGAACTTTCAACACTTCTAACAGCTGGTTACTCACAGTTTGTACCACACACTCTACTTCACAACCAGCTAGCTCTATCACCATGTCTAGCTTCTGTGTAGACAGTCTGTCTGCATTCTCCAAATACTTTTCTATAAACTCCTGTTTCCAGTTCAACATTTCTATCTTGTTGATGCTGATTTTCAGGAAATCTTTGTTATTGAGGTTCTCAAATACAAAAGCTGCTTCTTCAAATAAGTAGAGTAGTTCAGTATAGGATGGTATTTTAACTGATTCAGCAACTTCAGTAAAATACTCTGCACACTTCCCAACAAGCCAAGTAACCTCAAACACATTAGCTATCTTGTTAATGTCCCGGAATACTTCCCGGCTGATTCCCTCTGGAGTTCCAGAGTATGCTGCATCAACAAACAGCTGAACAGCAGCTTCACTGAACTCTAACATGTCCACACTTGTCATGTGAAGGGTAGTGGTCATGTGATCTACTACTGGACTGTTAAAGGATAGTATCACTGAACTGGCTCGTACCTCACCTCCCTCACTTGAGTTCAGTTTTAGATTGCTGTGAGTTGGGGATCCTATCAGGTGCCTTCCAAAATCCATAGGTACACTTACTTTTGGTGTCATATCTCTGAAAATAAAGTACATTAAATGATTAATAATTAAAGATAGAATTGTAATCTGCTATAATATATGGTGCATCTGAAGGAAAAGTAAGTTTATAATTTGATGTAGAATATTTTGGTTTAGCATTTAATCAGTTAGTTTTGAATTAACTCCACTGTTAACATTTCTTTTATAATTGCTCATATAATACGATACATACACTGTCTGCAACCAAATTAATGAAAATTCATCTTTCGTAAAAAATTATTTTATGAATACGTAACATAATAAGAATCACAGATATCTTAAATTCGAAGAAAACATGCCATGTTGACAATTGGATTAATTAATGTATTAAAAATATTTATAAATGTGTCCACTGTAATTTGAATTTACAACAATGAAGTCAAAATTAATTATGATAATTTATGTCAACATCAAATCTTATATAACACATTAAATCTACTTTTATCACTGTGACTAAATATATAGAATCCCATATGTTTCTCTTGTCGACCGCATCTTTAGAATAAAGCCAACCTAACCAAGATATTGGATACACATAAGTACCACTAGAATATATCAGACAGCAATAAAGGTGCATATTCTCCGCCTGAATCTCATCAAGAAAGTGAACTGACTCATTATTATAATCTTCCTTCTCAGTACACAGTCTCAATGCAGCTTCACTAGGGACAGTTTTCAGAATAAACCCACATTTACCAGGTAGATTACACGAAGTAACTGAGGGGTGTTTGAAGTGGAACTTTAGTTTTGCTTCTTTGGACAGTAAGATAAGCGGCTGTTTACACGTGTCAACACAATTAATGATACAGGGTGGCCCATTAAACACTACCCATCCTTATCTCTTAAAATTGTTACAGGTCGCTGAGATCTTGCAAATTATTTTAAAAACAAAAAGTGGCATAACTTATGTTCTGATAAATATTTTTGCTTCTAAATTTCACAGAATGTTAATTTAACAAGTAGTATAGCTAAACCTTTGTGGCAAGTTTTGTGTGAGTGCGAGCTTCACTGAGCTTATTTGACCAATTTAGCCCCTGAGCGAGATAGCTTGAATTCCTCACTCATAACTGTTTACATTGGTTAATAGGAACCACAAAAAAAAATCCTGGGTAAAAAAATCTAAAAACCAGCGATTTATTCACGTTTTACCACTTATATTCGCCATGATCCATCGCACATTCCATTCTCTCTATATTTTAACTGATAAGGACTATCACAGATGATTCTTCCTGCTTGTTTATATATCGTTCTTCTCACATGGAATGTGCGATGGATCATGGTGAATAGAATTGGTAAAACGTGAATAAATCGCTGGTTTTTAGATTTTTTTACCCAGGATTTTTTTGGTGGTTCCTAATAGCCAATGTAAACAGTTCTAGGTAAGAAATTAAAGCTAGCACGCTCAGGAGCTAACTTTGTCAGACAAGCTGAGACTCATACAAAACTTAGCACGAAGTTGTGTCTAATTATGATTGACATTCTCTAAAAATTTGAAGCAAAAATATTAATCAGAACGTAAGTTATGGCAATTTTCCATTCTGAAATAAAATAATTTGCAAGATCTCAGCGACCTGTAAAGCTGTAACAATTTTAAGAGATAAGGATGGGTAGTGTTTTATGGGCCATTTTTTTATGGGATTATTTTTCTTTTCGTGAGATAAGACTTACTTAAGTTACTTACTTAAACAGTTTTAAATTAATAGAACTTTTAACATTTCATTTAACAGTGCTCATACGATACGAACACTATCTGCCAACAAATTAATCAACATGCACTTTTGTAAAAATTATACTTAATTTGATGTTCAGTTAACGGGTGATACTCGTAAAATATTTGTTCCAATTCCGTTGACGAGTCCAACTCGACGCGCGTCCTGGTAGGTTATAAACCTACAAATGTTCAGTAACATAATGAGAATCACGGAGATCTTAAAATCAAAGAAAATATATCACATTGAAAGTAAGATTTAATGCATTAAATATTAATTATAATTATAAATTTATCCACAGCCACTGTGAATCGCATTTACAACAATCAAGTCAAAATTAATTATGATAATTTAATGAGAGTATCACATCTTATACAACACTTTAAATATATTTTTATCGCTCAACCCATAATATTTAGCATATTCAGACTTCCATTCGTTTCTCTTGACGACTGCATCTTTCGAATAAAGCCAACCTAACCAAGATATTGGATACACATAAGTACCACTAGAATATATCACACAGAAATAAAGGTGCATATTGTCCGCCTGAACCTCATCATGAAAGTGAACTGACTCATTATTATAATCTTCCTTCTCAGTACACAGTCTCAAGGTCCACAATGCAGCTTCACTAGGGACAGTTTTCAGAATAAACCCACATTTACCAGGTAGATTACACGAAGTAACTGAGGGGTGTTTGAAGAGGAACTTTAGTTTTGCTTCTTTGGACAGGAAGATAAGCGGCTGTTTACACGTGTCTACACAATTAATGACAACATGATTATTCTTCTTTTCTTGAGCTGAGACAAGCTGTCCCAAGTTTAACAGCGAACCATATAAACTTATTGTATGTACGTACTTAATTCTGATGGTAAAAGTGACCACCCTCGTCTGCCAGCTATGTCTACTAATTTAGTGAGTAATATATAAGTCACGTTAATTTTATACCTTATCTGATACCTGTTCCTGTACCAGCACCATGTATACACAGCTTCTATTGCCATCATCAAACTAGTAACATCCTCTGAAACAGATATCCACTCTAGAAGCTCCTCAAATGATAAGTTAAAATCCAGATCATGGTAAATGTTAGGTATAGTGTTACATCTGGACACCACAGTGGTCGATCTTACTGCACTTGTTGTAGCTGTACAGTCATCTAAAGAACTTATCTTGTTTGACTTTGAAAGTAGCTTGAAACACCATCTTATTTTCTCATCAGGAAGTCCTTCTAAAGTTGCAAACAGCTGATCAAACAAAACTCTGTTTGAAGTAAAGCAAAGAGAGAGGTTCAAATTATCCAGCAGATACTCACAAGATACAGGAATATTAATTGAGCCCTGAACTTTCAACACTTCTAACAGCTGGTTACTCACAGTTTGTACCACACACTCTACTTCACAACCAGCTAGCTCTATCACCATGTCTAGCTTCTGTGTAGACAGTCTGTCTGCATTCTCCAAATACTTTTCTATAAACTCCTGTTTACAGTTCAACTTTTCTATCTTGCTGATGCTGATTTTCAGGAAATCTTTGTTCTTGAGGTTCTCAAATACAAAAGCTGCTTCTTCAAATAAGAAGAGTAGTTCAGTATAGGATGGTATTTTAACTGATTCAGCAACTTCAGTAAAATACTCTGCACACTTCCCAACTAGCCAAGTAACCTCAAACACATTAGCTATCTTGTTGATGTCCTGGAATACTTCCCGGCTGATTCCCTCTGGAGTTCCAGAGTATGCAGCATCAACAAACAGCTGAACAGCAGCTTCACTGAACTCTAACATGTCCACACTGGTCATGTGAAGGGTAGTGGTCATGTGATCTATTACTGGACTGTTAAAGGATAGGATCACTGAACTGGCTCGTACCTCACCTCCCTCACTTGTGTACAGTTTTAGGTTGCTGTGAGTTGGGGATCCTATCAGGTGCCTTCCAAAATCCATAGGTACACATACTTTGGGTGCCATATCTCTGAAACATTTACATATCAATTGATAGGGAAACAATGTCTGGCCAGATCTGAGATAAAATATTATATTATATATTAATCAGTAATAAATATCATTAATTTCAATTTCCACGCAGTTTAGCTAGTCAATGTGTAGCAACTTACGTCAAATATATCATTATGAGTTATAGAAAAACTGATACGTCATGATAACTTCATAGTAAACGTCGAGAAATGATAATAGTAAACAATTAGTAAATGAGAAAGTTTCTTGTTGTCAAAATTCCTTGGTTTTCAAACAATATTAAACAATCATTTTGAATATCAAGACCCTTTCATTCTAACAAGAATATCAGTAGTAATTTTCTGAAAGGCTGCATCAATCATCTGCTGCGGGTTACCAGGGTTACCAACAGACGACCCATCACTTGAATAAACTTTTAGTTTCTGCTTTATAGACCCAGCGCTGTATTTCGAAAGCATTTTCTTTTGATTAACCAACAGCCGAGTGATGGGATCCACCAGCGGAGGAAAAGCTTTAGAGATCCTCACCAGACTTTCCAACGACAACAACGTCCACAAAGTTGAAAGTTGGCTGGTCTGAGAGATGGCCCACTGTAGCATCTCATTGCAAGCTTGGAGGGTCTGCTGTATCGGGTACTGGACAGCTAGGTGGGACAATAAACACACTGCAAACAGCTGCTTCTGGAGGGAGGCTTGTTGCAGCATGTTGGTGCTGAACTTGCAGGCTACGTGGAGGGACGGTACTCCGTTCACCACTCCCTCTATCTGGGATAACTTGAAAGTCTTCCAACAAACCAGCTTGCTTAAACCGTCATTGTTGATGAAGAAATCATTATTATAATCTTCCTTCTCAGTACACAGTCTCAAGGTCCACAATGCAGCTTCACTAGGGACAGTTTTCAGAATAAACCCACATTTACCAGGTAGATTACACGAAGTAACTGAGGGGTGTTTGAAGTGGAACTTTAGTATTGCTTCTTTGGACAGGAAGATAAGCGGCTGTTTACACGTGTCTACACAATTAATGATACAGGGTGGCCCATAAAACACTAACCATCCTTATCTCTTAAAATTGTTACAGGTCGCTGAGATCTTGCAAATTATTTTAAAAACAAAAAGTGGCATAACTTATATTCACCATAATCCATCGCACATTCCATTCTCTCTATATTTTAACTGATAAGGACTATCACAGATGATCCTTCCTGCTTGTTTATATCGTTCTTCTCACACGGAATGTGCGATGGATCATGGTAAATAGAATTGGTAAAACGTGAATAAATCGCTGGTTTTTATATTTTTTTAACCAGGATTTTTTTGGCGGTTCCTATTAGCCAATGTAAACAGTTCTAGGTGAGAAATTAAAGCTAGCACGCTCAGGAGCTAACTTTGTCAGACAAACTCAGACTCACACAAAACTTGGCACGAAGTTTTGTCTAATTATGATTGACATTCTCTAAAAATTTGAAGCAAAAATATTAATCAGAACGTAAGTTATGGCAATTTTCCATTCTGAAATAAAATAATTTGCAAGATCTCAGCGACCTGTAACAATTTTAAGAGATAAGGATGGGTAGTGTTTTATGGGCCACCCTGTAACATGATTATTTTTCTTTTCGTGAGATAAGACTTACTTAAGTTACTTACTTAAACAGTTTTAAATTAATAGAACTTTTAATATTTCATTTAACAGTGCTCATACGATACGAACACTATCTGCCAACAAATTAATCAACATGCACTTTTGTAAAAATTATACTTAATTTGATGTTCAGTTAACGGGTGTTACTCGTAAAATATTTGTTCCAATTCCGTTTACGAGTCCAACTCGACGCGCGTCCTGGTAGGTTATAAACCTACAAATGTTCAGTAACATAATGAGAATCACGGAGATCTTAAAATCAAAGAAAATATATCACATTGAAAGTAATTACAACAATCAAGTCAAAATTAATTATGATAATTTAATGAGAGTATCACATCTTATACAACACTTTAAATCTACTTTTATCACTCAACCCATAATATTTAGCATATTCAGACTCCCATTCGTTTCTCTTGTCGACTGCATCTTTCGAATAAAGCCAACCTAACCAAGATATTGGATACACATAAGTACCACTAGAATATATCACACAGAAATAAAGATGCATATTGTCCGCCTGAACCTCATCATGAAAGTGAACTGACTCATTATTATAATCTTCCTTCTCAGTACACAGTCTCAAGGTCCACAATGCAGCTTCACTAGGGACAGTTTTCAGAATAAACCCACATTTACCAGGTAGATTACACGAAGTAACTGAGGGGTGTTTGAAGTGGAACTTTAGTTTTGCTTCTTTGGACAGGAAGATAAGCGGCTGTTTACACGTGTCTACACAATTAATGACAACATGATTATTCTTATTTTCTTGAGCTGAGACAAGCTGTCCCAAGTTTAACAGCGAACCATATAAACTTATTGTATACGTACTTAATTCTGATGGTAAAAGTGACCACCCTCGTCTGCCAGCTATGTCTACTAATTTAGTGAGTAATATATAAGTCACGTTAATTTTATACCTTATCTGATACCTGTTCCTGTACCAGCACCATGTATACACAGCTTCTATTGCCATCATCAAACTAGTAACATCCTCTGAAACAGATATCCACTCTAGAAGCTCCTCAAATGATAAGTTAAAATCCAGATCATGGTAAATGTTAGGTATAGTGTTACATCTGGACACCACAGTGGTCGATCTTACTTCACTTGTTGTAGCTGTACAGTCATCCAAAGAACTTATCTTGTTTGACTTTGAAAGTAGCTTAAAACACCATCTTATTTTCTCATCAGGAACTCCTTTTAAAGTTCCAAACAGCTGATCAAACAAAACTCTGTTTGAAGTAAAGCAAAGAGAGAGGTTCAAATTATCCAGCAGATACTCACAAGATACAGGAATATTAATTGAGCCCTGAACTTTCAACACTTCTAACAGCTGGTTACTCACAGTTTGTACCACACACTCTACTTCACAACCAGCTAGCTCTATCACCATGTCTAGCTTCTGTGTAGACAGTCTGTCTGCATTCTCCAAATACTTTTCTATAAACTCCTGTTTACAGTTCAACTTTTCTATCTTGCTGATGCTGATTTTCAGGAAATCTTTGTTCTTGAGGTTCTCAAATACAAAAGCTGCTTCTTCAAATAAGTAGAGTAGTTCAGTATAGGATGATATTTTAACTGATTCAGCAACTTCAGTAAAATACTCTGCACACTTCCCAACTAGCCAAGTAACCTCAAACACATTAGCTATCTTGTTGATGTCCTGGAATACTTCCCGGCTGATTCCCTCTGGAGTTCCAGAGTATGCAGCATCAACAAAGAGCTGAACAGCAGCTTCACTGAACTCTAACATGTCCACACTGGTCATGTGAAGGGTAGTGGTCATGTGATCTATTACTGGACTGTTGAAGGAGAGGATCACTGAACTGGCTCGTACCTCACCTCCCTCACTTGTGTTCAGTTTTAGGTTGCTGTGAGTTGGGGATCCTATCAGGTGCCTTCCAAAATCCATAGGTACACATACTTTGGGTGCCATATCTCTGAAAATAAAGTACAATTAATGATGAAAATGATTCTATGATAGAATTGTTATTTGTAATAATGTGATGCATCTGAACATGAAGGAAAAGTAAGTTTAAAATTTGATGTGGTGAGTGAGCTCTCATTCAATTTTTAAATATTTTGATTAATATCAGGTAATCAGTTACTTACTTTGACAGTTCTGAATTAACTCAACTCTTAAATTTTACTTTTATATCGGTGCTTTAAAACAATACATACATCCGATGGTACGAAATTGATTTAAACACAATTCATAAGAATAATCAATTTTATGAATAACGTAATCAAAGTTAGTGGAGATCTTAAAACCAAAGAAAATATGTCATATTGAAATATGTCATATTGAAAGTTAGATTAAAAGTATTGAAAATATTATATAATTTACAAACTGTGGTTTGCATTTTGAACAAGGGCTCAACAATCAATCCATAATTAATCATGATGATGTAATGTCATTATCAAATCTTATATAAAACTTTAAATCTACTTTCATCACTCAAGCCATAATATATAGCATATTCAGACTCCCAATTGTTTCTCTTGTCGACTGCAGCTTTCGAATGAAGCCAACCTAACCAAGATATTGGATACACATAATGACGACTAGAATATAATATCACACAGAAATAAAGGTGCATTATATTGTCCGCCTGAACCTCATCATGAAAGTGAACTGACTCATTATTATAATCTTCCTTCTCAGTACACAGTCTCAAGGTCCACAATGCAGCTTCACTAGGGAAAGTTTTCAGAATAAACCCACATTTACCAGGTAGATTACACGAAGTAACTGAGGGGTGTTTGAAGTGGAACTTTAGTTTTGCTTCTTTGGACAGGAAGATAAGCGGCTGTTTACACGTGTCTACACAATTAATGATAACATGATTATTCTTCTTTCCTTGAGATAAGAGAAGCGATCCCAAGTTTAATCGCGAATGAGCTAAATGAATTTGATAGGTTCCGAATTGTGATGGTAAAAGCGACCATCGTCGTCTGTCAGCCAGTTCAGCTAATTTAGTGAGTAATATATCAGAGTTAACTGTATACTTTATATTCTGATACTTGTACCTGTACCAGCACCATGTATACACAGCTTCTATTGCCATCATCAAACTAGTAACATCTTCTGAAACAGATATCCACTCTAGAAGCTCCTCAAATGATAAGTTAAAATCCAGATCATGATAAATGTTAGGTATTATAGTGTAACATCTGGACACCACAGTGGTCGATCTTACTTCACTTGCTGTAGCTGCACAGTCATCCAAAGTACTCATCTTGTTTGACTTTGAAAGAAGCTTGAAACACCATCTCATTTTCTCATCGGGAAGCCCTTCCAAAAATGTAAACAGCTGATCAAACGAAACTCTGTTTGCAGTAAAGTAAAGAGAGAGGTTCAAATTATCCAGCAGATACTCACAAGATACAGGAATATTAATTGAGCCCTGAACTTTCAACACTTCTAACAGCTGGTTACTCACAGTTTGTACCACACACTCTACTTCACAACCAGCTAGCTCTATCACCATGTCTAGCTTCTGTGTAGACTGTCTGTCTGCATTCTCCAAATACTTTTTATTATGGTAATACTTATGTGTATCCAATATCTTGGCTAGGTTGGCTTCATACGAAAGATGCGGTCGACAAGAGAAACGAATGGGAGTCTATATTATTAAGTTACGGTAATGGAAATAAATTTTAAGTGGTGTATAAAATGTGATACTCTCATTAAATAATCATGATTAATTATGACTTGATTGTTGAAAATTAAAATTATAGTGGGTTCATTTATAACTGAGAATGAAGCTTATGTCAGTGAAAAAGAAGCAGGAACGTAAGCTTGAGATTCCTGCTATTGAGCATCTGCGTGATCATTCACTTGTTTCCGAATACAATATTGTTCTGAGAAACAAATTTGACTGTTTGGAACCTGAGGTTGACCTGGAATCAATGTGGGACAAATTCAAGACAACTGTCCAACAAGTTTCCATGGAAATCCTTGGGCAAAGACCTCGAAAAAAGAAGGACAGGCACCAATCTCAGAAGACAAAAGAATTATTGAAGAACCGTAAGGAATTTAAGCGTAAAGACCCTAATTCGAACGCTAACAGGTCAGAGTATTCTAGATTGAATAAGCTCTTTAAAAAAAGTAGCAAGGTGGACGATAACAACTGGGCACGTAGAATGGCCAATGACTTGGAAGAAGCTGCTAGAAAAGGTCAGCAACGTGAGGTATGGCAGAAGATCAATGTCATATCTGGAAAGAAGAAGAAGCAGTCAACTGCAGTTAGAGACGTATCTGGCCAGTTGATTGCCGACCCACATGCCCAGAAAGAAAGGTGGAAAGAGCACTTCTCTAGGCTATTGAACCCTCCCCCGCAAGAGGCCAATATTTCTGACTTAGACAACATCCCTCCGCAACCCAGTTTTGACGACCTTTCCGATTCGGATGAAGCTCCTACAAGAAACGAGATTGTTGATGCCCTCAAAAAACTCAAGAATCACAAAAGTCCAGGAGTGGATGGTATCACCAACGAGCAACTTAAGTATGGACAGGATGGGTTGGTCGATCAACTAGTTGTGTTGTTCAAGAAAGTGTGGGAAGATGAGAAGATTCCTGAGGATTGGTCCAAAGGTGTTATTATCATCGTTGGAAAGAAAGGTGACACCTCTCATTGCGCTAACAACAGGGGCATTACATTAAGATCCACAGCCTCGAAGCTCCTGCAGATGATACTCCTGCGGAGACTTAGCAATGGCATGGAAAAATTCCTCCGGGAGAATCAAAGTGGTTTTAGACAGAATCGCTCATGTATTGACCAGGTTTATTCACTCCGCTGTATTATACACCAATGCATTGAGTATAATATCCCTCTGTATATTAATTTTGTTGATTTCAAAGCAGCTTTTGATTCAATTGACAGGCAGTTCATTTGGAGAAGTATGCAGCACTACGGCTTACCTGACAAGTACATTAGAATTATGAAGGCGTTCTTCACTCACACAGTTAGTGCTGTTAGGGTCAATGGAGAGGTTACAGGTTGGTTTGATGTCAACTCGGGTACTGGGCAAGGCGATATACAGGGACCACCAGTCTTCAACTTTTGTTTGAATTTTTCGGCATACCTTATGGAACTGAACAAGGTCATTAGCAAAGGGGCTTTATTACAGCTGCCAGCCCCCGGGGTAGAAGAGAAACATCTTTTGGACACTGATTACGCTGATGACATGGCTATGTTAGATAACTCAAAAGAGGGGCTGCAAGAAACCACTGACCTTCTCTGCAAATACAGTGCCTATGCGGGTCTGAAGGTTAATGCTGGCAAAACACAGAGCATGGTTGTCAGCAAAAGTGCATCGCAGAGGCCGTATTCTAAAGACGACACCATGGACATCAATGTGGAAGGTCTCCCAATACAGCAGGTCAGCAATTTCACTTACTTGGGTGCAATCATCAGTGCGAATGGAACAATTGACAAAGAACTGTCAGCTCGAATTCAAAAGGCCTCTGGGGCATTCTATCAGCTCAGCAGTATATGGTACAGTCGCAACATCAAGACTCCAACTAAAATCAGGATTTACAAAGCGGCTGTTCTCACTATACTGCTTTATGGAAGTGAGGTATGGAATACCACACAGACGCAGATGAAAAGATTTGAGGTGTTCCATCATAGATGTCTGAGGAGAATCCTGAAAATAAAATGGTTTTATCATGTATCTAATGCTGATGTACTTAAGCGGGCTAACATCGCCCCTGTTGATACTTTCGTACGAGCAGCTAGACTCCGATGGTTTGGCCATGTGGTGAGGATGCCAGAAGAAAGAATACCCAACTATCTTCTGCACTGGATCCCAAAGCATGGTAAAAGGTCAAGAGGTAGACCTCGGAAAAACTGGTTGTCATGTGTCCGGGAGGATGCAGCAATCTTCACAGGTGTCGATAACATCACGATAGAAGATGCAGAACAACAAGCTACAGACAGGGTTCACTGGAGAGGTCTAATACACCGGAGAAAGGAGTTACTATGTGGTGCAGGCCACTCCAACGACTAGGAGGAGACCTTTTCAAGTACAAGTAGTAAGTAGTACATTTATAAATATTTTTTATACATTAATTAATCCAACTTTCAACATGGCATATTTTCTTCGACTTTTTAGGTATCTGCGACTCACATTATGATATTCATAAAATTAATTATTTTTCCGAAAAATGTATTTTTATTAATTTGGTTGCAGCAGGTTGCAGACAGTGTTTGTATTGTATTATATGAGCACTGATAAAAGAAATGTTAACAGTTGAGTTCAAAACTAATAAAGTAAGTAACTGATTAACTGCTAAACCAAAATATTCCACATAAAATTATAAACTTACTTTTCCTTCAGATGCACCACATATTATTAGATTATTTTAACTGATTCAGCAACTTCAGTAAAATACTCTGCACACTTCCCAACAAGCCAAGTAACCTCAAACACATTAGCTATCTTGTTGATGTCCCGGAATACTTCCCGGCTGATTCCCTCTGGAGTTCCAGAGTAGGCTGCATCAACAAACAGCTGAACAGCAGCTTCACTGAATTCTAACATGTCCACACTGGTCATGTGAAGGGTAGTGGTCATGTGATCTATTACTGGACTGTTAAAGGAGAGGATCACTGAACTGGCTCGTACCTCACCTCCCTCACTTGTGTTCAGTTTTAGGTTGCTGTGAGTTGGGGATCCTATCAGGTGCCTTCCAAAATCCATAGGTACACTTATTACTTTGGGTGCCATATCTCTGAAAAGAAAGTACAATTAATGATTAATAATTCTATGATAGAATTGTTAATTGTAATGAAATGTGATGCATTTGAAGGAAAGTAAGTTTAAATTATGATGTGGAGAGTGAGCTCACATTGAATATTTTAGTTTAGCAGTTAATTGGTTGGTTATTTTTACAGTTTTGAATTAACTCAACTTTTAACATTTTTTTAAGTGGTCATACAGTACTTCAGTATGTATATTATCTGCCACCAAATTAATGAAAATACACTTTCGTAAAAATAATCAATTTAATGTTAATGAATATACATAATGAGAATCGCGGACATCTTAAAATTAAAGAAAATATGTCACATTGAAAATTAGATTAAAAGTATTAAAAATATTATGGAATGTACCAAATGTGGTTTACATTTCAACAATCAAGTCATAATTAATTATGATAATTTAATGAGAGTATCACATCTTATACAACACTTTAAATCTACTTTTATCACTGTGACCAAATATAGAACCCCAATTGTTTCTCTTGTCGACTGCATCTTTCGAATGAAGCCAACCTAACCAAGATATTGGAAACATCCTAGTATCGCTAGCAGAAAATATACGACAGAAATAAATGTGCATATTGTCCGCCTGAACCTCATCATGAAAGTGAACTGACTCATTATTATAATCTTCCTTCTCAGTACACAGTCTCAAGGTCCACAATGCAGCTTCACTAGGGACAGTTTTCAGAATAAACCCACATTTACCAGGTAGATTACACGAAGTAACTGTGGGGTGTTTGAAGTGGAACTTTAGTTTTGCTTCTTTGGACAGGAAGATAAGCGGCTGTTTACACGTGTCTACACAATTAATGACAACATGATTATTCTTCTTTCCCTGAGATAAGACAAGCGGTCCCAAGTTTATCCCCCAACCTACTAAACTAATGTAATACCTATTAAATTCTGGTTGTAAAAGTGACCATCCTCGTCTGCCAGCAATGTCTGCTAATTTATTGAGTAATATATCAGTGTTAACTGCTTAACTGTATACTTTACATTCTGATACTTGTACTTGTACCAGCACCATGTATACACGGCTTCTATTGCCATCATCAAACTAGTAACATCCTCTGAAACAGATATCCAATCTAGAAGCTCCTCAAATGATAAGTTAAAATCCAGATCATGGTAAATGTTAGGTATAGTGTTACATCTGGACACCACAGTGGTCGATCTTACTTCACTTGCTGTAGCTGCACAGTCATCCAAAGAAACAATCTTGTTTGACTTTGAAAGAAGCTTGAAACACCATCTTATATTCTCATCAGGAAGCCCCTCTAAAGTTGCAAACAGCTGATCAAACAAAACTCTGTTTGAAGTAAAGCAAAGAGAGAGGTTCAAATTATCCAGCAGATACTCACAAGATACAGGAATATTAATTGAGCCCTGAACTTTCAACACTTCTAACAGCTGGTTACTCACAGTTTGTACCACACACTCTACTTCACAACCAGCTAGCTCTATCACCATGTCTAGCTTCTGTGTAGACAGTCTGTCTGCATTCTCCAAATACATTTCTATAAACTCCTGTTTCCAGTTCATCATTTCTATCATGTTGATGCTGATTTTCAGGAAATCTTTGTTATTGAGGTTCTCAAATACAAAAGCTGCTTCTTCAAATAAGTAGAGTAGTTCAGTATATGATGGTATTTTAACTGATTCAGCAACTTCAGTAAAATACTCTGCACACTTCCCAACTAGCCAAGTAACCTCAAACACATTAACTATCTTGTTGATGTCCCGGAATACTTCCCGGCTGATTCCCTCTGGAGTTCCAGAGTATGCCGCATCAACAAACAACTGAACAGCAGCTTCACTGAACTCTAACATGTCCACACTGGTCATGTGAAGGGTAGTGGTCATGTGATCTATTACTGGACTGTTAAAAGAGAGGATCACTGAACTGGCTCGTACCTCACCTCCCTCACTTGTGTTCAGTTTTAGGTTGCTGTGAGTTGGGGATCCTATCAGGTGCCTTCCAAAATCCATAGGTACACATACTTTGGGTGCCATATCTCTGAAACATTTACATATCAATTGATAGGGAAACAATGTCTGGCCAGATTTGAGATAAAATATTATATTATATATTAATCAGTAATAAATATCATTAATTTCAATTTCCACGCAGTTTAGCTAGTCAATGTGTAGCAACTTATGTCAAATATATCATTATGAGTTATAGAAAAACTGATACGTCATGATAACTTCATAGTAAACGTCGAGAATTGATAATAGTAAACAATTAGTAAATGAGAAAGTTTCTTGTTGTCAAAATTCCTTGGTTTCAAACAATATTCAACAATCATTATGAATTTCAAGACCCCTTCATTCTAACAAGAATATCAGTAGTAATTTTCTGAAAGGCTGCATCAATCATCTGTTGCGGGTTACCAGGGTTACCAACAGACGACCCATCACTTGAATAAACTTTTAGTTTCTGTTTGATAGACCCAGCGCTGTATTTCGAAAGCATCTTCTTCTGATTAACCAACAGCCGAGTGATAGGGTCCACCAGCGGAGGAAAAGCTTTGGAGATCCTCACCAGACTTTCCAACGACAACAACGTCCACAAAGTTGAAAGTTGGCTGGTCTGAGAGATGGCCCACTGTAGCATCTCATTGCAAGCTTGGAGGGTCTGCTGTATCGGGTACTGGACAGCTAGGTGGGACAATAAACACACTGCAAACAGCTGCTTCTGGAGGGAGGCTTGTTGCAGCATGTTGGTGCTGAACTTGCAGGCTACGTGGAGGGATGGTACTCCGTTCACCACTCCCTCTATCTGGGATAACTTGAAAGTCTGCCAACAAACCAGCTTGCTTAAACCGTCATTGTTGATGAAGAAATCGTGCAGGAAGTTGTAAACAAGTGCGCTGTTTTCGTAAGCATGGTTTGATTCTATAGCAGTGGAACCAGAGGCTCGTGTGTCAGAACCACTGGTGAGATCCAGCAGAAGCTGCACAATGGCAGAGTTCTGTAGGGTGATATACAAAGCCTTGTTGTCCTCGTGCTCTTTAGACTTGGTAGCCTGCTGGGGATCAGTCTTGTTTGCTTGCGGAGGATCAGACTCAGCAAGTCTTGCTCTGGACAGGGACAAGTAACCTTTCAAAATGTGCAGCAATATCTTTACACCCACAGGACTTCTGGTGATTTTCTCAGGTATCTGGAACAGCTGAAGGGGGTTTGCCCACACATCATCTTCAGTAAGTTTGGGGTTAATGAGAGTTTTAGCGGTGTTTAACCAAGTTTGTTGGGGATTGAGAGCAGCGCTCTTCTCCCACAGGAGGATGAAACTGCCCTGAACTCTAAAGCCATGCTTCACAACATGGGGTACACACCGTGCAACTATTTCGCTGGGTATAAACTCGTGGTGTCTCTTCAGCATGTTCCTGATCATGTAATAACTCCTGCTCTCGTCACCCCTATCCAGTGACTCTAGGATCTGATGTAGGTACTCCTTCACGTCGAACGCATCAGAGTTTTTATCAAGCTTAGAAACGTGAGCTTTGGCTTCGTCCTCCGCAAGCAATTCCTTGGGATCACACAAGAATGGGAACTGAGACACGAGGAGTTTAAGGAAGGTAGGGTAGACGGCAGAGTAAAGTTGGATATTGTTGCGGGTGTGTAAGAGCAGTGTTTTAGCAGAATCGTCCCCAAATAAAGACACAGAATACTCGTGGGGAGGTGGTGCAGTGCTGCGCTGGGTCTCCACTTTCACCTTCAAGTCAGACAGACCCTTACGGTAGAGTAGGAGGTAGTAGAACGCGAGGACACGACAGGACATGTTGTTCGAGGGAGAGAGGAGTGAGGATAGCTCTGTTTCAGAGATTCCGGACATTGAGCGACCTGGAGAAGAGAATGAGTTTTATCTAGAGTTGTACTTGACTTTCTCATAATATAGAAAATTGTCATGACAAATACTAAGAAATTTATTGAGCACAAGTACTTGAAAGTATAAAGCTGTCATATTCAAAGCGTATCAAATACAAAATACCAAGAAAAAACAAAGCTATCTAAGACCCACTAACCCTTGTTAGACATGAGGAAGTTAACACTCCCACTGATAAGCTCGCACAACACAGCAGGTACTGGTTCCTGTGTCTGGCGCAGCTGCTGGGGTAACCAGGTAAACAAGTTGGGGGGACACGCGGGTGCGCGCGAGTTAATCAGCTGAGAGATACAGTGTACTGGCAAGTAGCCAGTAACCAGTCCAGATAGACCCGGTGTGACGGGCACGTTGGTGAGAGCAGATACTATCTGTTCTTCACTTTGTATCTGGGACCATAGTGTCTGGATGGTAGCTGCGTGACCTGGTGTTGTTATCATGTTTAATATTGGTAGTGTAATATTACGTAAGATAATATTGATATGTATTTAAGCAGTAGAAAGTACCATATTTCATATTAAATGTTTTCTTTTCATTGAGAAATGAGAAGCAACCTTACATGTTACGTAGTCAGGGATTGTACAATATGCAGACAAAAAAGTTATTGATTAATGAGAAATCTTTTCTTTAACGTGCGCAGGAAAGAGAACTTGGATATCTAAAAATTACAAGATCTTGCTCCAATTACGACATCACAGCTCATTGCTGTAACTTACCTGCAGACACATTGACTTTGAGACCAGTAGTCTGGGACAGTACTGGTCCTATCATCTCATAAGTTCCGCTGTAAAGATGCATCCCTGTCAAGGAGTATGAGCTCTCCTTTCCTTCCTCCTTCGTAGGAGTAGTTCAGCAGATCCGTCAGCCATCTTCTTATCATGTTACCAACCTACAAATATAAAATATAATACAATTACAATAAAATGGTTAATAATATTTACAACTAACATTTTATACCCCGGGCATATCATAGATTAACTGAACTAAAATCCTCAAGTACGAGAAGAACGCTATAAAGTTGAGCCCTTCATAATTTATCAACAAATTAAAGAAGTTTCCAGTACGTCATAAGTACGTTTTAAGTACGTTTTAAATACGTTTTAAGTATGTTTAAAGTATTTTTAAGTACATTATAACACACTACCTCGATGTTAGAGTTGAGCGAGGTGCAGGACATGTAGAGAGATAAGGATAGTTTGATAAAGAGGTCCCCTTCCTCTCCAGAAGGTGGCTTGTGTAACATTAGACTCACCAGCTCCCTGCTCTCACGTGGTTGCAGGGACAATCTGTGGTGTTGTGGTGCATGTTAAATATAATGGTTATGTTATCTAGTGATAAGAAAAGTTACAATATAGTAGCAGAGTGTAGTTCAGTATACTCTGCGACATGTATACTGTAAAGCAGCAGAGTGTAGTTCAGTATACTCTGTGACATGTTTGTAATTAAGGTTATTCTACACCAAGAATCAAGATCATTTACAGTAGTTATGCAACTTATATCGGTCCCAACCCTAAGAGGTGAACTTTTTAAATTACCCTCAGGCGACCATTTCTAATTCTTGTAGTTGTACCACAGATAATCATACAGGGCGTAGAGACTTAAATTTCAGCTCAAATTATTGCAATGGACATATTCATTGTTCATACACAGAAGCAATATTGAATAACTGGAATAACTAAGAAATGATCTCATTATAACGGAGTAACTTGAGATGGAAAATGTTACACTTGCAGGGCAGCTCCGTTTGGCTGGCAGAATGGCTGGCATTCTTACTTCTAGTTAATAAAATTATTCTATTCGAAAATTAATGACTTTATTGAATTTCAACTAGCTCATTTTCTAACTTGATCTCAGACAGTAAAACTACAGCCTAATTACATGGTGACAATAATTAGTACCTGCAAGTATTAACGATGTTGAGGTAGAGAATGAGAAGGTGGTTTGCTCTGATAACTTGTGTTTCAGTGAGAGTAGTCTTCACAGTGCTCACTGTCTCCTGGCACGCTTTAGTCATGTCTTCTTGTATCGTCTCGTCTAGGAACGAGCAGTAGAACGAATCTGAGGGGAAAATGTGTTTTTATGGTATGCAGACTGAAAAACAAATATTCTGATAATATATCAATCTATTTCCTTGAAACTAAACATGCCACAATACTTCTACCATTACACTAAGCGACTCATAAATAATATTCCAAACCGGATTTACTTACATTACACTAAGAAATGAGCAATGCCCACAAACCATCCTGATCCTTAGCTTTGTCCTGTTTCTCAGCAGATTAGCTGTAACATCACCATCGTTACTACCAGTACTAACACCCTCCTCCTCCTCCTCGTTACTGCAAGTCACACCTGATATCATCGTTATCATCCGCTCTCTGAAGTCGGAAAACCTCACTAACTTATCAAACACTTTACTCTGAAACGGAATGAGAGGTAAGTGTTAAAGCGTGTTGCTATGATACAATTACAGTTCCTACCCCCATATCCACATAATTAAAAATTTCCTCCCAAACCCATTTTCAGACCCTTCTGTGGCCCGCTCGCTTCGCTCGCAGCGGCTAAGTTACTTTCCCAACAGGGGCGTGCGCAGGATTTTTAAAAGGGGTGGGCGAGGAGTCGGCGCGATGCGCCGGCTCCGAGGCTACTGCGGCAGGGGCTCGGGGGCGCAGCCCCCGGAAAATTTTAACTGGATTATATGCTAAACCAATAGGATATCAATACAGAAGGTTCAAAACAGTTGATTAGACACTTGGTTATTAGTAATATTTTAAGAGGGCAGGGGGCGCAGCATCCGGAAAATTTTTAACTGGATTATATGATAGACCAATAGGATATCAATAGAGAAGGTTCAAAGTAGTTGATTAGACACTCGGTAATATTTTGGATTCAAAACATTGGACAAATTAAAATTAAAGATGGCACGAATTTTAAGTCATTTAGAGAGGAAAAATTTCCTCTCGATACCCAATGATTGAACTGCTCTTTGCGGACTGCAATTGTCAGTCGCTAACCAAGAAATTTCCTCTCAGATGCCAAAAATTTCCTCATTCTTCCCAAATTTCCTCCCAGATATCTGGTGGGTTTGCCAACTTTGTGGATATGGGTTCCTACCATTAGTAAAATTTAATAACGTCCTTGATAAGATGCAAGATTGTTCGCGATTTTATCGAAATATAACCCTCTTTATTTAAACAACTAATGGGCACGAATATAACGTCCTCCTCACCTCGTTTTTAATAAAATCAACAACAAGAGAAGTGTCCCTCTCAGAGAAAAGAGATAATATCATCCTGTCATGTGAGCACTTCCCCTCCTCGGGTGTCAGTAGAGCCTGTATTACTATTCGCTTCCTTATGTTGGAGATAGTGTCCAGTGTAACGTACTGGCGCGAGTCTGACACTAGGGAGGCGATACTCCGCAGGTAGCCGAGAACTTTCTGAAATACAAAAAGGGGGCATGTGAGAATATGAGGCGAGCTATGTGTAGTTGAGAAGCTGGTATGAAGTTAATATTCGCACGTTGAATATTTGGAAACAGACAACAATTTATATCTTAATCAGATCATTGATTTAATACCAAGATTGTAACCGTTGATGAAGGGTTTTAATATGTCATTCAAGTGTGCAATGGACTAACATGTCGAACCATGCAATACATGTTAGAATTTATTTATTTCTTTATTACATTGATACTGTGATGCTTATGATAGTTACGCACCAAATCATACCAGGGTACAAGACTACACACGACTGAACGATGTCCCTTAGTATAATCAGAAAATAAAGATCTACTACGATGTTCGGTTTCAAGAATGAATTGAAGTTACCTGCTCGAGAGCACCTTTAGACTGGACGAACAGATCAATAAAACAAAGCAGCACTTCAACGTATCTCTCAGGGTTGTTGACTACCAGACTATTAATGTAGTGTGTAGTATCGTTAGTTAAGTGCACTAGTAACATCAGTAACTCCTTCATATCAAACACTTCAGGCATTCTGTAACACCTGTGATTATGGGAGGTTATATAACCTATATATATATATTATATAGGTTATATCGTGGTAAACGTTATCGATCTTACCACTTTAGTCACCAAGGTTACAACATTAATAGCAAAGGTTGCCAAATTAGTTACCATTATGGGCAGTATTTTATTTCTTACTAAGAATGTTAAAATGAATAAATATTAATTGATAAAAACTCACAAGATGCAGATAACAGCAGTGATAAGCCCCTGATAGTCAGAGTAAGACAACAGATCACTCCCCACCCCTCCAACCGCCTCACTCCCCGCTCCTCCCACCGCCTCACTCCCGCCTCACTCCCCACCCCTCCCTGACTGTACTGGGACTGTAAATATATCAGCTCCGCAGCTATAACCCTCACTTTATCACCAACATCATTCCCCGCGAACACACTATCCACAGTGCTGCCTCCATCCGGCATCAACATGGAGTCCTCCCGCCGTGTCCCCGTCTTCCTCCGCAGCTGCTGCTCCTTGACAGCATCAGATAACACTGCTGTAAAGTCGTTGTTGATGAGCTGATGTAGGGTTGGAGCCAGACTACTCTTGTGGAGAACGTGGATAATAGTGGTACGCTGGGGGCCCTGTACTACTTGCAGTAGTTTACACAGGTAGGGTAGGTAGGGTAGAAGCGAGATGTGGTCCTGGTCCTGGAGCGCTGCCTCCACCTCCCCCAGTGAGAGCCTCTCAAATATCTGGTGTGTCATGGTGCTGGGTCTACAACATGTTGCGCCTGGAGTGGAGTTAGTTTTATTAACGTTATGTAAGAATTTAGAAGTCTCTTTGAATTCAGAAACATAGTTTTATTTGAAATTGCTAGTTTATAACGCTTGCTGAATGCTGATTAGATACCAAATAGTGACCAGTGCACTGAGTTGTTTATGTTAATTGTTACACCAACTAACTACAAAGCTAGTAAAATGAAACGGCTGCTCATCAAATTTATCGTTAATAAATTATGTTACTTTATTGATCGTTATCAAACTATCAAAGTGCAATGATATACATTTTACCATCACGAGGAAAAAATAACACAAGAGTATTTTGAAATATAGCCAATATGACATTTGATTTTCAATACAAAATTACATTTAAACGATTATAAAAGAATGATTAATATGACATCAAATTTTCAATAAAAAATACATCTAACTGATCAAAATAATGATTGATAAATTATAGAATCAATAAAAGCTAAAACATAACAAATCATCCAGGTCTCTGAATATCACAACTTTTTTATTAACAAATCATTATTTTCAACACAAATTATTATTATTTTCAACACAAACAATCAAAAGAATTAATATTTTCATCTATCAAATACAATACGAAATAATAAAAAGTACGGATTATTACGGAGTTTGTTATAACCAATATTGTAAATAAATCCATTTTCCAATTTCTTTTTAAAACTGTTTAAGCAGTTCCAAGATGTGCTATCTTTCTGACTAGCCCAGGGCCTCGCCATGTTCCTCTGAAACATAATCATATTTTAAAATTTGAACATTTAATTACTTACGGGAAGGTAATGTTTCAAATAGTAAGTATGTCATAAATATGTGTATTGTGTATGTTAAAAAGTCACCTGATGAGTCCATGCCAATACAGTGGAGGCATCACCTCCTTCTTTAAGAAGTAAGTTAACCACCTCGGCTAAAAAGTATTGTAATGTCAGAGCTAGAAAACTGTACAATTTGTTTGACGATAGATTTAAATCTTGCAAGACGGACCTGAATAATATCTTGGTAATGTCTAGTAACAATAACTTTATAACATCATATTTAAATGTATTATATCATAATATCGTCACCAACAAACCTTGGCCTGGTTGAAAGGCAAGGTCTCCAATATAGCTCCATCATACCCAAACTCAGCCAGAATCAGCTTATCATTACCCACAGTAAGAGGACAGGAAGTATACCCATCATACCTCTTCTTCAGCTCCTTCCCTTTCATCAGTCTCCTCACATTACCGTACAGGACCCCACTCTCAGCAGCTACTTTAGCAGCTGTTTTACCAGTGGGACAACTGTTACAGTCCCCTATCCCAAACACGTTCTTGTAAGTGTTGTGTTGTAGTGTGTGCTTGTTAACATCTACCCATCCTGCTGAGTCAGCTAGTGGTGAGGTAGCGTACACTGGACTCGGAGCACAGGGCGGCCCCACATGTAGCATGTCAAACTGAGGGGTTCAAGGTCAGAAAACGAGCAACTTTAACAGAGTACTATACGAAGTGTACTTTATCCGTAATAATATACTAATATTATCTTGTTATTAAAAGTTGTTATCAAATTGAAACCTTCTGTGTGGACTGTTTCCCAGTTCCCATATCTTCAAACACCGCCTCCCTCCCCTCACCGTCAACCTCTACAAGATGACTCGTAGTCTCCACCCCACAGTCTTCTCAGCAGCTAGTTTAGAGAGAGCAGCAGCATACTTGGGTACTCCGAATATGGCAGGTAAGGCTGTGTGGTAGGTTAGACTACAGTTATCTCGTACCCCTGCCTGCCATAAAATGTTTTTAGTACATTAATTAAATGTTGCTTGGAGAGGGAATCAAAACACGATTATCTTATCATTTAGTTAGAGCTGCTAGTGGAAGTTGTATTTTTCTCTCATAACTGAAATATTTGTAATATATACACTATACAGTGGTGGTAGAGTAATAGTGCTGAAGCTTATGTCTGATGACAAAATAAAACTAGAATAAAACTTCTTTTTTTAACACTTACTTTTCTGAGATGAGCATCAGCAAGATACATTATCTTCTGTGGAGCACCAGCACACTTGATAGGGGCATTAGGGAATGTAAATAACAAATCCCCTCCCTTTATAGCTGACAGTACCTTCCAAGTGTAGTCAGCATTCCCTGGTAAGTGGTAATATATGGAAAGGAATTCATTGATTGAAGTTTAAATGACCAATTAGTGAGTTGACTGAGGATGAAAGCTAGATTACCGAAAAAAGCTTAGAAAAAGGGAACATCATCAGAATAGAAGGACACATTTCCCACATTTGGAACATTTTTCTGCCGTTTCCTTTTTGAATTACCCTGTATATAATAATATAATACATAATATAACCCGCATCGTACAATTACTCATCAAACTTCGGACCGCTACATCTATTCTACACCTACTCTAGAACTTTAATTATCCCATCTGTTGCTTCTTATTTGTCGACTCTATCTAAAACTAACCTCATATATTAGCGTGTATTTGAGTGAGCCTTTATAAAATCATTATTATTAATTGTGTGTTTTAATGATCGGTACCAAATTGTTTTCCTGTTCCGTATTTTCACTGTTTATTTTCATTGTGCCTCTAATTTTGTTCCATAATTCATATAATATATATTATATAATAATAAGTAGAAGGACCACAATGCTCAGGCAGTAAACTAATTCTCTAAGTACAAAAAATTATCAGAATAAACTAACCTCTTACTAAGTATATAGTTGCAGTAGAATGGGTGACCCCTCCTTCATGGATAAAGCTGTAGAAGTGGGCTTGTCTGGTATAAGAAAAGGAGAAGGAGAGCCGTTTGCAGCTGTGGTAGTAAGAAACGGAGAGATTGTGGGGCAGGGAACCAACAGAATCACAATTAACATGGACCCAACAGCGCATGGAGAAGTTGAGGCTATTAGGGATGCTTGTAAGAATCTAGGTAATTGTAGTACTTTATAAATAGGTAACATGTTTCATTTTAATTTAAAACCAGGTCTCTTCGTTTACTAGAATGATACCCTCTGACTTTTTAATGAAACATTATGAAGTATTTGTGACAATTTGCAAATCAAGTCCTGTAGTCCTGTCTTGTTTCAGGCACAATTCTTAGCTCACTTTCACTTTCACTGTCTTATTTCAGGCACAATTCTTAGCTCACTTTCACTTTCACTGTCTTGTTTCAGGCACAATTCTTAGCTCACTTTCACTTTCACTGTCTTATTTCAGGCACAATTCTTAGCTCACTTTCACTTTCACTGTCTTATTTCAGGTACAATTCTTAGCTTACTTTCACTTTCACTGTCTTATTTCAGGCACAATTCTTAGCTTACTTTCACTTTCACTGTCTTATTTCAGGCACAATTCTTAGCTTACTTTCACTTTCACTGTCTTATTTCAGGCACAATTCTTAGCTCACTTTCACTTTCACTGTCTTATTTCAGGTACAATTCTTAGCTAACTTTCACTTTCACTGTCTTATTTCAGGTACAGTTTACCTAACAGGATGTGATCTCTACACAACATGTCTACCATGTCCCATGTGTTTTGGAGCAGCTCACTGGTCTGACATTAGGACTGTTTACTACGGGGCAGACACTGCAGATGCAACACAGTTCGGCTTCGGTGGACAAGAAGAGATATACAAGGAGATTAAGTTGGATATTGAAGATGGTGGGGGAAAGATTCCGTTTGTGCAGGTAGCACGGACAACAGCGCTGAAGTTGTTTGAAGAATGGAGGGAAAATGAAGAAAAAGGACAGAATTGAAGTAAAATACAGTTTACCTAACAGGATGTGATCTCTACACAACGTGTCTACCATGTCCCATGTGTTTTGGAGCAGCTCACTGGTCTAACATTAGTACTGTTTACTACGGGGCAGACACTGCAGATGCAACACAGTTCGGCTTCGGTGGACAAGAAGAGATATACAAGGAGATTAAGTTGGATATTGAAGATGGTGGGGGAAAGATTCCGTTTGTGCAGGTAGCACGGACAACAGCGCTGAAGTTGTTTGAAGAATGGAGGGAAAATGAAGAAAAAGGACAGAATTGAAGTGAATTTTATGAGACAAACGTGACAAAGTAATACTTACTCGATATCATAATATATGTAATATATTTACTCAAAACTTTAGCTATTTGTTGAATAACTTGAATGTTCATTATTCGAATCGAAGCTAAAACACATCAAAAATTACATTTTGCAAGTTAATAATATATTACATATCAAAACAGGTTTTACCTGGTCCATAGTTTGAGCAGACTCCGTTTTTACCAAGTGTCTCCTTAAGACCTTTTACTTTATCAAATCTCACATCTAAGCCAAGTGCTACAACTAAATAATCGTAGGTAATCTGAGGTAATCACCAAATCAGAACTCAATGAAGAATAATAATATATAATATAGGGGGGGGGGTCCAAGGGGAACTTTGGGGAGTTTTGGGGAACTTTTTTTTGGGGAACTTCAGGAAACCTGGGGGACTTTCCCAAAGTTCCCCAAAAATTATCAATGAAACAAATAATTTTGGGGAATTTTGGGGAACTTTTTTTTGGGGAACTTCAGAAAGTTCCCCAAAATTCCCCAAAATTCCCCAAAAAAATTATCATGCCAAAAAAATTATCATGCTGCAAGTATCAACAAGTAAGTTAAGATTATACCTTATAATAACATACATGTTAACATTAATGGGTATTAATGTATATTAGAGAAATTTTGAATAATTTTGAATAATTTTGAATAATTTTGAATAATTTTGAATAATTTTGGGGAATTTTGGGGAACTTTGGGAAGTTTTGGGGAACTTTTTTTTGGGGAACTTCAGAAATCTTGGGGGACTTTCCCAAAGTTCCCCAAAGTTCCCCTTGGACCCCCCCCCCCCCCCCCCCCCCCAATATATTATTTTGGCTTAGAAAGTCGATTCAGTAAAAAAAGCTTTGCCTACATAATAGTGCAGAGTGGAATTTGCAATCGATTTAACTGATGAAATTTTAAACATGTACTTAACTTCAAACAAAACTAAATTATTCTTTACCTTTTCACCACCAAAAGGTCCAAACAGTGATACACTATTTTTCTCTGGTTCAAAACCTTCGACTCTGGTCCTGTACCATTTAGCTTGGCCAGGAACACACAGACTTTGAGACTTACTCGATTGCTCTGTTGTCTTTATACCAGCTCCAACCAATGTCCACATTGGTTGGTAATAGTGGGTCTGAGGGTTAAAAATATGAGATTGGAAATCTTTATCTGCTAGAAATGGGGGTTAAAAATGGTTAATTTATATGCAGTACATTCATTCAACTAATAATGACTGGAAAAAAAGATGTGAAGCCGAATTTTATGTTTCTCACGTTTTCCAAAAGCATAATCCTTGATACTTAACAAATCATGGTAACAGGAATATCTTGTTGAATATGATTTTTTAAAACATCTAGCAGAACTATTGATGTACGGATTCCATGATTAATAACAAGAATAGACTTGTCAGATCATAACAAGATCATCTCACATCAGCAGGATCTATTACAGCCACTGTGCCATGTTTTAACAAGTTAGAGGCTGCAGCACATCCTCCCGCTCCACCCCCTGCCACTACAAAGTTATAGTGAGACGCAAACCTCGATAGTACTCCACTTGCAGAGCCATTTGTTATCAGTTTTAAAGACCTCATGAATTCATTCAGCTGAGAATTGGGTAATGATTTAGTTAATTATTTAAGTTGTTTACAAGCTTAGCAGGATTCAATGTGTAAAGTATAATTAAATAAGTATTAAGGTTTTTATGATAAAATGTAAATATCATCAAATGACTGAAATTATTAATTAGGGACAATGACATAACAGTTTTATAAGCAAATGAATAATATTGTATTATATACAAAAGGGGGAAAACACCTGTAATATTGTTCATTTTATTCTGTTCTGTAATACTTTCAAAGTTACACTAAAGATCAAAAATGTGATAAGTTTCTGCACTTACTGAATAGGTTTCTCTCATGGTTATTCATCAATTAATAATAAAAATCATTTCTGTGAAAGTTGGTCAGACCAGTGTTGGCTCGGAATATCTGATTTTGACTTACTTAATCTGTTCCTAAACCGCACCATTTCTCCCCACAACTGAGGGGTGCCGCACTTTGGGCATGTGCCAGACACTGGTAAAATGTCAGTTTTGGAGACCCATTTATCAGCTAAACATATAAGATGGAAAGTACACTGATTATGGACACAGTATATGTTATTATCTTCAGAAACTGTGGTATGACACAACGTACAATTGGTTTCTCTACTTGTAACAGTATCTCCTATTTCTGATGGCTCCTCAATCGGTCCCAATGCAATAGGCATATGCAAAGGAGGAACAAGGGGAATTTTATATTCGCTTCTGAGCCATTGTATTGTTAATGGCAGCTTGTTCCATGGAGGAACATTTAACATACGCTCTAGGACACGGATCTGAAACTGAACACCGTTTTCTGTTTTTTTCTTTTGCCAGTCATACATTTTCAATCTCACTGATATCTTGGGATTTTGCCATGCCCATTCAAATCGTAAACCAGCAATTCTATTCGGAAAGTTGTGGATGCAAAGGATCATATCCCATGGGGCATATTTAGCAGTTTTGTGAGCACCACCTTTTTTAAATCTGTTGTGTTGGAGAATTCTTCTGCCAGGCAGAACTGTATAGCCAATATATGTACCACGGACACTTTTGTTGTTTTCAATACTGCACAGCAAATATACACCATGAAAGTCAGGCATCCTGAGGAGAGAACAATTTAGTAAGGGGTCGTTCCAATATTACATAATCAGGGGGGTATATATTATCCAGAAAACAAAAAAATGTGTTTCACTATTTAATATGTGAACTACCCCTGATGACAGCCATCGAAAGCGATGCTGGTACGAAATATTGCTGATAACAAATAATAGTAGGAAGTAAGATTAAAACTATCTACAGTAAAACACGAATTCACAATTTATATAATACAAATTTAAAAACTTAAAAACTTGGGCAAACTTCAGTCCTCAGAGAAACCCAAACCAACTGAAATTGAAATACGTTGAGAAAAGACATTAGCACAAACCAAGAAAATATTATTTCCCATGTCGAAAAAGCTGGCCTTAGTGGACCTTAACTAATGATACTTTATTAAATATGAAGAGATTTATAATTTAATTTAGAAAATAATACAGATTTGAGACAATTGTTCCATCAATCTCAGGAAAGCACAAAGAACCTATAAAGGGATACAAAACAATTCCTTCGAACTGAAATAAAACTGTTAACAGTGTGTCATATCAATATGAACTGAATAAATTACATTCAATTTCAGCAATCGCCAATTGGCTGACTATTATAGGGTCATGGCCTGAACAAACAATTTTTTTAAATAGTCAAGTGATGCTAAAGCAGAGCACAAATGTGTGTCATATTCCAACTACTACACCATCCCTATTATTAGTGAGCCGGGTTCAATGTTAGACCGGACGAAGCATATGTATTGTGAGCCGGGTTAATCATTTATCAAGACCGGACGAAAAATGGCTACATCTCAACAATTAAATGGATAATACTGCAAAGGTGCTATTGCAGCTAAATTCTGTTACCTGAACTCAACTTTAAAACAGTTTTAATATTATAGCATATACCTTATAATATTATGAAATATATTTTATCTGCCAATATTTTATCTGCCAAATATCGCTACTAAGGTGTTCAAAGAGTGGAATCTGAATATTAATGAATCAAAGACAGAGTTTGTACACGTCTACATAGCTGGGAAAGATGAGGTCATGGATGATGGTAAACCCCTTAGAATGAATGAAGAATGGTGCAGTAGCAAGTTATTGGGTTCTCTGCTAGAAAGTAGGAAAGATGTCACCAGAAGAATCATGTTAGCCAATGTAGCATTCCAGAACTTCAAGAAGGTCTGGTGCCAGAGTAAGATCCCCCTACAGAAGAAGCTGAAGGTCTATGAGGCCCAAGTAGTATCTATCCTCATGTATAACTCTAGTTGCTGGGGAATGCCTAAATCGTACTGGGACAAACTAGATACATGTCACCGTAACCACCTCAGAAAGATCATGAATGTCAGCTGGCCACGCAGTATGATGTCCAAAGATACCCTCTACAAACAGAGTAACTCTACCCCTATGTCTGAGCGTGCTGAGTTATCTAGGTGGAAGATGCTAGGACACATACTGAGGAGCGATGAAAGATCACCAGCTCAAGCTGCGCTGTGTTTTGCTGTCGAGATGTGCAGTGAAGTTGGTAGACTCGGGGCTCACAGACGTAACCTCCTACACCACCAGAAGGTTGACCTCTGGAAGCGTTTCATCTTGCTTGAGTCGTATGATGATATTCTTCATTTGAGAGAACTTGCTAGTGACCGTGGTTATTGGAGTAAATTGTTCGACTTTATACTTGAGTACAAGTCAATTTGACTTTTGGGACATATAATCTTACAAAGGATAACATTTCGGTTCTAAATTATTTTAGGATTGTTGACATTTGTAAGATTGACATGTTTGATAATAAATAATGTTTGATAATAATTTGAGGTTGTTTGATCATTCTTACACACCAAAGCACGAAGAGTTGTGTGTGCTTTTAATTTATTTGTTATTGTCATTATAAAGTTTATAATAAGAATTTTGTACAGTAATCTATATAAGACAACTTAAATTATTTTACATGTATGGTTAAGAATTTTATGAAATTGAACAAATCTATTTATTACAAGTATTAGGACTGCTAGTTTAGTATTTTTATTTATTTATTTTCACTTCTGCGCGTTTTATTTAGGCAGTTGCTCTTGTTAAGGATTTTGTTAGGAATTGGGTTTGGTTGGAATCAAATTAGAGGGTTAGCGGGTTTCGAATAATAAATAATTGTCCATCAAAAATATTTATACTTTAAATAAAAATCCCTGGAAACCTTTGTCATACGTTGTATGACCCGCCGCGCACGAGTGCGCGGCTCCCCCTGTATCGTCGAAACTCTACTACTATAGTGAAGCGACAGTGGGGGTCACCACGTGATACAAGGAAACCTTATTGGCTGGGGCTTAACTTTGAAAGTAAAAGAGATACTATACTACTAGAAACTTCCGGTTTTTTGCAAAATCAAAAATGTTCGCCTTTTAAAAATGGCTTGACCATTAAGTTTATGGTTTGGCCCCGCGCGCGCTACTTCGTAGCACGTGCCATCGGGCCATTTCGGGAAGAAAGCAGTGTGCGTTACTTCGAAGAATTATTTAGACGAGTAACATCCGTAAAAAAATGATGCAACGTCCCCCCCCCCCTAAAGGGAAAATTTACAACAACGTAAATTTTGAATTATCTCAAAATCTTCTGAAAAGTCTCATTTTGGGCCGATCAAAAGTTAAAACTTTAACTTTGCAAATTTCTGTACTCTGGTTGGCTAAATTGTGTCGTGTGATTCAATTGCATTTTTGCAACGTTTAAAGCTTGCAATAAACTTTCGACCGCGCGCGAGCTAGAACACGCTGTGAAGACGCAATCACCTGAAGTGATATGCTTTGCACGGCGGTAAAAAACGGCCTCGCGGCGGTAAAAACGGCCTCACGGCGGTAAAAACGGCGTACTTGTGAAACAAGCGCGCCCGTAGTGGCGCGAAAGCACATGGTTAGGTGAATTATATGCTCAGCCAGTAATAAGGTTTGCTGGGATTAATAGATAATATTAAATTGTACTGCTTTCTATACTCAATACTAGACTAGTTTTTAAAATATTTATTAAAAAATATTTACCTGGGGACCCCAGGCTATGATATTTATGTTTATAATCATAGAGATTATGCGGAATGACCAGTAATAAAATATTTGAATTGTATTTTGTTGGTCGAATTAATAATTCCGAAAATTATTTTGATCCCCTTACTTTACATCTAAATAATAACAAGGTTTGTTAGGTTGCTCTATCCAGAGCCCTTGCGTTTGCAGTAGCGCGCCCGCCTCACGTCAGTGGCGCGAAAGCACATGGTTAGGTGAATTTGTTAGGGGTCGTTGACATATTACGTAATCATGTTTTGGAACATTTTTACCCCCCCCCCTCTGTAATCAGTTTTACACATAGCTATTGTGTCGAAATTACACTAGCGTAATCATTCGGAAACCCACCCCCTCAGCTGATTACGTTATATGTAAACGACCTCTTAATATAAGGGCTGACAAACAGCTTGTTTAAACTTGTACTTGGTTATTTGTATTGTATTGACGCTAAATTGGTTTATGAATCATGTTCGATATCATTTTAAGATTATTAAGCGCTCGACCGAAATTCTTTGTTGGAACTGTTAATGGCATGCAATGTATAATTATTATCTATCTATGATATGGATGTACCAATGAGTCACTAAAACGTTACGGCATCGGGGGCACCATGGAGGATCGGAGGGCGCTAAATCAGAAGACTTGCTTCCGGCCCTGTTAAGGAGTTGAGTACCCGCCACACCTGTTGTCTCTGTAACTACACCAACCACACCATATTTACATACTGACCACATCATCTCCTTGGGACTCATTGGTACATCTGATGTTGTTGCTTTCCCTCAGATTATTGTTAGTACTAGTGTTGAGTCTTAACAACATTGGGCATTATATATACATTTAAAACATTTATTTTACAAATTATAGTCTTACAAATTTGAACCATAATAACCTTTTTATTCAATTGTATTTTTTGATCAATTTATACCTAAATTAATGTCAATTATGACAATTGATTACATTCCAATTTTTAACACATCCCATCAGGCACTCAAACAATCATCTTTACCAATCACTACTTCACAACTGTCCTGTTGTGTTCGTCCGTAAATTAACTAGCCCTGTGATTGTATTACTCAAATAACAACTATTATTCTTCCCTTACAATTCTGATTCAACTTTTTCTCAACAGAGATCTCTTGTGTGGCGATTCTGCTCTTCTTATTTTCAGGTCGGTTGCGGGTCAGACGTGACAGTGCCCTCTGGTCAGCCTGGTGCCCCTATCGCCTTTCTACGCCATGCCCAACAAAGCTATCAACAAACAACGAACAAGCCTCGGAGGAATTCCATCTAAAGTACAGGACAAGAAGAAGGAGAAGAAGAACACCAAGAAGCCCTCCCCAGCAAATCCTAAGAACTGTCCATGTGGCCAGCACGACCCAGACTCCTGGGTTCTTTCTTGTACTAATTGCACCCAGGAATGGCACAGCAACTGTTCCAACCTAAAGGGTATTACAAATACTTTTGTTGAACAGCTTATCGACTGGATGTGTCCCTTTTGCTTCAGTCCACCGGGTGTTGAAGCCCGCAACAACACACAAACGGACAGTCTGATTCTGAGAATATCCAACTTGTCAGATGACAATGCTTTGCTTACGAAGCAGATAACCTCTCTCGAGGATAGACTAACTTCTCTGATTGCAGACACCGACAGAATTAGTAGCAGCTACAATCAGATTGCTGAGAGAGTGGTGGCCTTATCAGAAATAAGCACAGGTCTCACGCACTTAAATCTGCAACAAGATAAGACCAATTCAACGCTGAAGGCCTTATCAGTAAAACTCGAGAGCATATCAACCACGGCCACCCCACAACCAGAACATGTTGCCACGCCTCCTCCCCGTCCAGAGCATCTAGTGTTTGAGCCCCCTGCAGTCCCATCCGGTATGGTCCCGGCAACAATGATCAACGATTTTATTAATGAACAGGCTGCACAGACCATCGTTGACTTCCTAACAGCCACTGAATTTAATGATGAGAATGGTCACTCAGTGAAATCGTTTGGCCATCCATATTCTTATGTAGGGTCAAAAGCGACCACCAGTCCGCCCACCATTCCTGAAGCCTTGCAACCCTTAGTGGAGTCGATCAATAAGATGCAGGCTGATGAGTTCTACAAGATCTATCCCGAGCTGAAGAAGAAAGGAGCAGCACCAGTTATCAACTCCTGCTTGGTCAATCGATACGTTGGTCAGGAGAGCTTTCTTCCAGAACACTCAGATAATGAGATCACTATCCACCCCGAATCGTCAATTTTTACGATCACAGTGGGTGAATCTTGTGAGATCTTGTTTGCTGAGAAAAGCTCTAAGACTGACAGTCTCAAGTTAGACTGCAGCCACAGATCAATGTACCGAATGACTCGGCGGTCACAGGACTTCTTCTCTCATCGTATAGAGAAGGGTTCTGTGAAAAAAGGAGTTCGATACAGCCTGACCTTTCGATCAGTCAGTTGGAAGAATCGAAACTCCACATGTATCGTTGGCGACTCTAATACTGGCCACCTAGCCTTTGGAACTGGTAAACTGAACTCGTTTGGTGAGCTGATGCCGGGTCAACGGTTCTGGGCCGCTACAATGGAGGACATCAAGCCTGAGTGGTGCTGTGGCTACAACAACATCGTAGTATCTTGTGGTATCAACAATCTGAAAAAGAATGATGTGAGAAGTCAGGAGGACATTGATCGACTGTTCCTGCAGTATAAGTTGAAAATTAACGAAATTAGACAGTTCAATAGTAGTACTAATATTTTCATTGTTCCTATACTGCCTACTAAGTCTAACGAGCTTAATAAGAAAGCTTTGTATTTTAACTCACGTATATTCCGTGATTTGGATCAGCCTGGTTTGGGTGTATCACATGTCCGCGGTCTCGATGACTTCTTAGATCGCAACATGTTGCTGTCTGAGAGGCTGTCGAAGAAACTTGATAACCGCGGTAGACTTGATTTGTTGCACTTAAATGAGGTTGGTGTTAAACGATTTGCAGCTATTATTAAGAAAGCTATATTCAACAGGTTAAATAGAGGAGCTGAAAAGAGAAGGAGGACCCGAACCCCTAGCAGAACACAGAACGTGCTAACATCATCGCAAGTTGCAAGCTTACCTAGTCCTGATGGTCGTCAGGTATGATCAACAAAATTTTGAGAGAAAACTGTAACCATTGCCTGAAAAACGTTTACATAGGTCAGCCGATGTTTGAGTGCAGTAGATGTAATTGTATTGCCCACTCAAAGTGTTTTTCGCAATCAAAAGCACAAATTATTAATGACAACTTCTACTGCTTTTCGTGCAAAGATAAAATAGTACACAAGTATAATCCCTTCAAACACTTTGTAGATGACACAACCTCACCAGATGCACATGACGAAACATATAAAATATCCTCAATCTTAGACAAATGCCAAGCTTATTCTGCTAATGAAATCAACTCATCGCATGGAGAAAATCTTAAAAAGTTTTCCAGCTCCTACTTTCTTAACATTGATGGCAATAAAAGCAATTTTGATAGTCTATTAACTGAACTGCACCGCATTAACCAAAACTTCACCGTAATAGGTTTATCAGAAACTAACATAGGTCCTGATGAAAGCACCGTGTATTCAATTCCTAACTACAATAGTTTTTACCAGAATACTGTAGGTAATAAATCCAAAGGAACTGGTGTAGCATTATATGTTCAAGATAGACTTAGCAGTATTGTGAACGAACTTGCGTCAGACGTTACCGAGAATTTAGAATCACTATTCGTAACTAGTCGTAAAAACTCAGAAGAAGTAACTTTTGGGGTTATTTACCGACCACCCAGCGGTAATTTTGCAAGCTTCCTGACAGAACTATCTAGAATACTCCAGATATTGCCTAAAAAATCTGCGTATATAATGGGAGATTTTAACGTCAACCTCCATGTTAATAGTAAAGAAGTTAGCAATCTCGAGGAGATAATGTTTAGTGCCGGTTTCTCGCCTCTTATATCAACACACACGCACGAGAAGCCGGGATGTAATCAAACGTGTATTGACAACATTTACACAAATGATATAAACAAGGTTGTTGCCTCAGGTACAGTATCTGACAGAATCTCGCATCATCTGCCAGTTTTTCATATTTTTGAAGACCTAGCTGTAACTAACTCTGAACCTCAAGTTAAACATACCCAATATTATGATTACAGTGAATCCAACGTTCGAGTCCTTGTTTCATCCTTAAACCAACATTTCTCTGAGCACCCACCAAAAAACTTTATTGAATTTCACGACACATTCAAAACGAATCTAGACAAATCATGTAAACTCAGTAAACCTAAAGTCTCCAAAAGAACGCCAATGACAAATCCGTGGATAACAGGAGGATTAATCGCGTCTATAAATAAAAAACATGAGCTGCACGACCACTGGCATAAAGCGAAGAGAGAAAAATGTTTGCATAATCCAGGTAAACTTTGTCGTGAGATCAAGGAAGCCTGTCACTGCAATCCTTGTAATGATGCCAGGGAAAAGCATGCTAATTTTACTGACAAACGTAGGAGAGTTAAACACGTAATAAGACTAGCTCAACGCCTCTACACGTGCAACAAAATTGAGGAGTGTCAGGGTGACAGTAAAAAAACCTGGCAGTTAATTAATAAAGTGCGAGGAAAGCAAAATAAGCAAATGAAACCGTCATTCATGATAAACAATGAGCGTGTTATTTGTCGACGAGTTATTGCTCATGAATTTAACAAGTACTTTGTGTCAATCGCCTCCAATCTGAACGAGGTCTATGAGAGGAGGATTGATGAAGATCCTATAATTGCTAAATCATTCACTGACTACTTGCCACAGTCCTGTCCGTCAAGTATTTATCTTGCTGAATGTACAAGCTCTGAAATAATACAAATTATAAGTGAATTTAATAACGGTAAAGCTAGCGACATACCGGCACATGTAATGAAGCAGTGTAGTCAAACTATATCAGAACATCTTGCCAGAATTTATAACAACTGCATGAATGAAGGTGTCTTCCCTGATCAACTGAAAACGGGTAAGATAACCCCGATATATAAAAAAGAAGATGAGGAATTACTAGAGAATTACAGGCCAGTATCAACATTACCAGTATTTGGTAAAATATTTGAAAAAATTATTTACAGTAGATTATACAACTTTTTCTTATCTCGAGGAATAATATTCGAAAATCAGTTCGGCTTTAGAAAAAACCACTCGACAAGTCATGCTCTTAACTACTCCGTAAATCACGTCGAAGAAAAACGGAATAATAAAAACCACGTATTAGGAATATTTATCGATCTCTCTAAAGCATTTGATACCTTACCATTTGATATGCTACTTAAGAAACTTAGTAATTACGGAGTTAGAGGAAACGCACTAAAGCTGCTCTCCAGCTATCTAAATAATAGATACCAGTATGTTAGTGTACTTGGTGAAGAATCAGAGCCTCTCCCAGTTAAACTAGGCGTACCTCAAGGATCCGTTTTGGGCCCCTTGCTTTTTCTTATCTATATAAATGACATCTATAGATGTAGTACATTAGGAAAATTTGTACTATTTGCAGATGACACAAACATCTTTGTAGCTGCTGAAACTAAGGAACAAGCATACAAAATAGCGAATGAAATTCTCGACTCTGTGTGCCAATATATGCGCCATAACCTACTGCACATTAATGTTAAAAAATCTTGTTACATGTACTTCTCGCCTACTAAACGTAAGACCATTGATAATACTGAAAATGACTTGAATCTAGAAATTGATGGGATCCCGATCAAACAGGTTACTGAAACGAAATTTCTAGGTGTAATTATTGATGACAAACTGAGTTGGACACCTCATATCGAGAAACTAACTAAGAAATTAAACAGCATATGTGGCCGTATTTATCGAATAAAAAACTCCCTCCCCAGCCAGCTGTACAAACAGATATACCACACTCTTTTTGAATCTCATCTAGGATACGGTATAACTGTATGGGGTGGTGTATCAATTAATAAGCTTTCACCACTATTCCTTGCACAGAAGAAATGTGTCCGAATCTTATTTGGGGACTCGGAAGCATTTAGCGACAAGTTTAAAACTTGTTCTCGTAGCAGGCCAATCCAGTGCAGTATAAACAAGAAAGGTCAAATATCCAATGAATCAACTATACCTCACATTAAACCGTGTTCTATATGTATCAGCTTGAGGAAGACTGGTGATAAACAAGCAAGGCCACATCGCTGCCAAATACTTGGGGCAGAATTCCACTCTAGAGAATCAACAAAACCTATTTTCCAATCTAAGGAACTAATGACAGTACATAACATATATAGATACAGATGCATTACTGAAACAATGAAGATAGTGAAGAGTCATCAGCCCATATCCATGTATTCTCTCTTTAAGAAGTCTGAGCTCAGAGATGACAGATTTGTGACACCACACTCATCTCACAATTTCGCATATAAAGGGGCAAATTTATGGAATAGGTTTCTTGAGCAGTCAAATGCACGTGGTAAAATAGGTTCACTAGGTTCAATTAAATCCCGATTGAAGCTTTCTATCATGAAGGCTCAACACCAACCTGACAATATTAACTGGCAGGACTTAAACTTCAACACTTTCCTATGAAAAGACCCCCATTTATATTTATATATTTTAGATTTTACACCTGTCACTCACATCATATATGCACCACAAAAGAAAAAAGATTCATTCAATCATTACATTATACACTCACTCCACCACACATGCACACAAAACATTAAAGCAGGTTACACGCGGGTGTAACGTTCACTTTATCCGAAGGGAAAAATAATACTTTACGTAACGCGCGATTTACGTCTTGGTAGCTAAATTATTCAAGTGCTATTTGTCAGAGCGACACAAATGCGCGAGCGCTTGCGCGGCTCACCTATCCAACACTCTTGTTTACATCGTATCAGGCAATGGTTCAGTTTAATTATGGTAAGGGCACAGCCTGTCAAAAACCCTTTTCGCATGATCCGTCGACACCGCCTGAAGGTGAATGCATAATAACGGATCATGAACGTACGGAATCAAACGTTAATAAGCTTGCAGCTTCCGATGAAAATGTATTCAACTTTGTGTCATGCTTGAATTGGTTTTGGACCTCTTCAATGCTTTTAATTTATTTATTATTGTTATTTGGTATTATGAGCTGATATGTATATATACATACGGTATCTAAAATTAAGCGTATAGCGAGCATATTTAACAATTTTTAAGCAATAATGTATTGCGAGCAGCTGTAACTTAAATATCGCATAAAAATCATATAATTATAACACAAAACTAAAATGTTATTGGAATCTAGGTTAAACTAAGATAAAATTAATATCAGCCCCTTCGCCACTCTCAGCAGTCAACCAGGGCTCATAAAAGCTTAACAGCGCCTGGGTCCGTTCACCAACTGTGCTAATGTGAGTGGCGGTGTGGTAAAACCCATTTTAACAGCGTGAATATTTATCAAATATAAGCGCGCTAGCTGCTAGCATACTTGTATCATTTAATTTTTAATCAAATTTATTCGGATATATATTTATTGATTATGTATTGAATTGGTGATAAATAATAAAATTGTCTTTTCTCAAAAAATTGTCTTTTCTACCATTATTCTTAATCTAATTTAATTTTACCACTAAAATTCCACTTCTAATTAACTTATTTGTATTTATTACATTTTCTTGTGTCTATGACCCATGCAGGAGGTGACCGGGACATGATTTCAGGCCTGACCGGGACCGGGACCGGGATACAAAATGTGACTTGACCGGGACCGGGACTGGGACCGGGATCATAAATAAGCATTTGACTGGGACCGGGACCGGGATGAAAAATGTGACTTGACCGGGATGGCTCAAAATTGCCAATCCCGGTACCGGGAATTCCGGTCCATTACTGGTTAATTCATGATCATAATTTATTACTCAAACTTGTTCAGCAATTTTAAACATTGTTTTATTTTACTCTGAGGATGTTTAAAGATGAAATTCACAATGAATGAAAGGAAAAACTTAAAATCACAGTGAATGAAATTATTTAAAAGATCCCGGTCAAAATCCCGGCAAATTTGAGTGATTGATCAGGACTGTGACCGGGACCGGGACCAAGAATCCTGAATTAACCGGGACCGGGATCATAAATCAGCATTTGACCGGGACCGGGATAGCTCAAAATTGCCAATCCCGGTCACCTCCTGGACCCATGCAATGTACTGTCATTTTATAACTGGTATGAGATTGGGCATAAAAGTTGTGTGGAAAGATGTAATGCTGAGTGGTAAAACATAAGGACGATATTTAATAAAATGAATTCCAATTTGTCTATTCTTTGAAGCAGTATAATAGTAATACGACCCTTCGAAAATTGCTCACGATTTGTCACATGCCTTTGGAATTCCCATTGTGCATCTACTGTTTCGATGGATGGAAGGGTTACGGGCACTGCTAATTTAAACATTGTTTTATTCCAAAGGAAGTCTCTTGTAATAAGAGCAAAATTATTTTCCAGCTTAAACCTGTGCCCTTTTAGGGTTGGTGTAAGGGAACACCCTTCTTCAAAATTCCTGTCTTATCCTGCGTATATAAGATCCAGTGCTGCTTCATTTAATTATACACTCAATCTCGAGAATACAGTAGCAAAACGTATGCAGTGCCTCGGCTTCCTCCTCTAAATATTTTTTTTGAAATTTTTTCTAGTGTCAATAAAAATTTAAAAAAATTGTCAGGCCATCTCTGTGAATATAACCTAATTAAACTGCCTACAATACCCTTCTGTTATGTAGTGAATTAGGGATCTAGCACCTAAATGAAAAATAAATCGATGAATATTTCAACGAACCAGACAAATCAATCATATCCTTGTAGCATTACTCGACCATGGCATGGGTGTTGTTCTTTTGAAGCAATTTGCTGAGAGGATACGATTTTCTCTAGAATGATGCAGGTCTACATGTTTAGGGTTTGTCTCAAGAGTCTCACTAACTGAATCTCTTGGCCAGTTTTGGATCCTAGTCTGAATCCTGCGTCAAATACAAAGAAGCTATGTGATCGCATAATTGGTGTGATTTGTGATTGGATAATATGATTCATGAAAAGGAACTAGGATACAAACTAAAATTACAGCAAGGATAATCTTACTACTTAGCAAAAAAAAATTGGATATTTTCCCTGTTAAACAAAAGTTTATTGATAATTATCTCATACTCTTCTTCCTAATAGTGAATAGCATGATTCCCATATCACTTCCTAATTATATACTATAATGCAGCAACTCCATGTGTTAGATCGCCAATTACTGTGCATTTAAAAAACCCATTTCCTAGTTGTATTATAAACAAAACCTCTAAAGTAAATACTTCAGTACAATAATAACCAAATTCCATTATATGAATATATATTACACTAATGTTAGGAACCACTTAATAATGAAAACCACTTAAATACTTAGCAATTGGGCGGAAGACCGTCAAAACCGATGTTGAACATAAGAAATTCCTGCTCCACAGGTTTTCTCAGACTCGATGCGATAGTCACATGCATGTATATTGTATAATCATCATTGCTAGAAAAGGTGGGGGGGTCCAACCCGATGTCCGATATGAGGGTTGATGAGGCCAAAATCGGAATCGGAAAAATCGGAAAATTGAGAAATTTTAGAGAATCGATCCCTAAAACCTCTCAGAAGTGAGGAAGTGATAAAAAACCCCTACATATGCTATATTGTTATGAGAAAACGAACTAATTGGACATTCCAATAGTATGTTTTATGTGTTTTTCCACTGCAGGGGCTAGTATGCTCACTACTAGTTGGAGTTGTCATGTACTCCCAGACCCGAGTGCTTTGGCCTCTTGACGTGAGATCGATTGTTTCTGCTCATTAATTTTATCCCTGTTACTTGTTATTATGTATTAGTACAACACTAGGGTTATATTTTGTGGTCCGGTCTTTAAACATACCATAATATCACTAGTACACTGCACCTTAAATGTATAGTCAAGTACATTTGTATCGTAACACATGCTTGGCTGGGGGATCATGTTTTGTGTCCGTTCGGTACCCTGTATTTTCAAAACGGACAAAAAGTAGGGCGGACAAAAACAGACAAAACATTTAGATGTCCTCCTCCTCCTCCTCCTAAGTCTTCCTCCTCCTGAGTCCTTCTCCTCCTCAGTCCTCTTCAGTCCTCTTCCTGACTCCTCGTCCTCGTCCTCGTCCTTCTCCTCAGTCCTCCTCACCCTCCTCCTCAATCCCCTTCTCCTCCTCAGTCCTACTCCCAGTCCTCCTCCTTCTCCTTCTCCTTCTCCTTCTCCTCCTCCTCATCCTCATTTCTCCTCCTGATCCTCCTTCTCCTCCCCATCAGGCATCAGTTCTCCTTAGTCCTCCTCATAGTCGTCCTCCTCCTCCTGAGTCCTTCTCATCCTCCTCCACCTCCTGAGTCCACCTCCTGAGTCCTCCTCCTCAGTCCTCATCCTCCTCCTCAGTCATCATCCTCTTCCTCCTGAGTCCTCCCCCAGTCCTCCTCCTCCTTCTCCTCCTCATCCTCCTCCTCCTTCTCCTCCTCATCAGTCCTCATCCTCTGTCCTCCTCATAATCGTCCTCGTCCTCATCCTCGTCCTTAGTCCTCCTCCTCCTTATCCTCCTCCTCAGTCCTCCCCCAGTCCTAATCCTCCTCCTTCTCCTCCTCCTCCTACTCCTCCTCCTCCTTCTCCTCTTTCTTCTCCTCCTAATCATTCCTCCTCCTCAGTCGTCCTCCGCCTCCTCCTCGTCCTTAGTCCTCGTCCTCTTCAGTATTCCTCCTCAGTCCTCCTCAGTCCTCATCCTCCTCATCCTCCTCCTCCTCCTCAGTCCTCCTCCTCCTTCTCCTCTTCCTTCTCCTCCTAATCAGTCCTCCTCCTCAGTCGTCCTCCTCCTCTTCATTAGCCCTTGTCCTCATCCTCCTAGTCCTCGTCCTTAGTCCTCGTCCTCATCCTCCTCAGTCTTCCTCCTCAGTCCTCATCAGTCTCATCGTCCTCATCCTCCTCCCCAAGTCCTCCTCTTCCTCAGTCCTCCCCCAGTCCTCCTTCTCATCCTCCTCATCCTCTTCAGTCGTCATCTTGTTCCTCCACAGTCCTCCTCTTCCTCCTACTCGTCAGTCCTCCTCCTCCTCCTTCTCCTCAGTCCTCCTCCTCCTCCGCAGTCCTTCTCCTCCTCGTCAGTCCTCCTCCTCGCCAGTCCTCCTTCTCCTTCTTCTCCTCCTACTCCTAAGTCCTCCTCCTCCTCCTCAGTCCTCCTCCTCCCTCTCATCCTTTTCCTCCTTCTCCTCCTTCTCCTCCTACTCCTAAGTCATCCTCCTGCTCCTCAGTCCTCCCCCAGTCCTCCTCCTCATCAGTCCTCCCCCAGTCCTCCTTCTCCTCCTCCTCATCCTCAGTCCTCCTCCTCATCATCCTCCTCAGTCCTCCTCCTCCTCAGTCCTCCCTAAGTCCTCCTCTTCCTCAGTCCTCCCTAGTCCTCCTTCTCCTCCTCCTCATCCTCAGTCCTCCTCCTCATCCTCAGTCCTCCTCCTCAGTCCTCCTCGTCCTTAGTCCTCCCCCAGTCCTCCTTCTCCTCATCCTCAGTCCTCCTCCTCAGTCCTCGTCCTTCTCCTTTTTAACAGTCCTCCTCCTCAGTCTTCCTCCTCGTCCTCGCTCTCGTCCTCCTCCTTCTCGTCTTCCTCCACACCAATCCTGCTCCTCTTCCTCAGTCCTCCCTCTCCTCTTCAGTCCTCCTCCTCCTCAGTCCTCCTCGGTCCTCCTCTTTCTCCTCAGTCTTCCTCCTTTTCCTCCTCCTCCTCATTTCTCTTCCTCATCCTCCTCCTCCTTCTTCTCTTCCTTCTCCTCCTAATCAGTCCTCCTCCTAATCAGTCCTCCTCCTCAGTCGTCCTCCTCCTCGTCCTTAGTCCTCGTCCTCATCGTCCTTAGTCCTCGTCCTCATCCTCCTAGTCCTCGTCCTCATCCTCCTAGTGCTCGTCCTGGTCCTCCTCAGTCTTCCTCCTCTGTCCTCCTCAGTCCTCCTTCTCCTCAGTCCTCCTCCTCCTCCTCATCAGTTTACACAATTTATTGTTACTAAAATGTTTTTAAACGCATTTGAGTCTGTAACATATTGACATGTTACTGTTACTGACTCAAAATGTGCCCGAGAATTTTTTTGTTTAACAGAGTTTTACTCTCCAGTACTATGGAAAAGTTGTTACATGATAAATAAAGATTTTGATAAATAAAGTGATTTTCATCCCTTTTAATGTTATTGAAAATTGTGTAGACTATTCTTTGTATCTAACTGAGGATTGGAAGTTTGAGAAAGGACCATAGTCATTAACCGTGCTACCCATTTCTGCAGATAGCCTGTTACAAATTGTGGAGACAATTTAAATCAAAAGTTACTAAAGCGTTCGCTATTTGTTACGATTGTTATTACCAACCGTACCTCTTTCAATTGTGGACCGGGGTGGATGTTTCTGTCAAACAAGAGTTGGTACGACATTGTGTTGTTTTTCGGACGAAACGATTCTTGTTTGGAACAAGATACCATTTTGGGGTTCTGGGACCACCACCAATCGATTTCTTGTCATATTTAAGTACAGAAATAGCTACCTATATCGCCTAGAAACCTCAGAGGGAAGATTTAAATTTTCCCGATTTTTCCGATATGAGGGTTGATGAGGCCAAAATCGGGATCGGAATGATCGGAATTGATCGGGTTGGACCCCCCCCCCCCAAAAGGTAACCCAGTTAATGCTGTGTGTCACTAAGAGAATAAGAGTTTTACTATAGAATATTCTATTTGAATCGATTAGAAATATCTTTATTTGCGTATGTTCCATATAGTTGAAATCATCTATCATCATTATCTATTTGCAGTATGATTTGCACCCCCCCCCCCATCTGCATCAGTAGTTTGTAAAGATTTTCTGGAATTTCTCACTCTTCCCTCACAATTTCCCCTTTGCTCAGACTAAAGATTGTAACCAGTAAGCCTCTTATGAGGTCCAATTTAAGAGATGTGCAAACAGCATTGTTTAAATTATTATAGATGCTTCAATAGGAATTTTGTTTCTACCACATGATCCTATTAATGAATTGGGGTAACTGTAAATTCCTGGATTCAACCAGACCTAGTATCTCTAGCAACCATTATTATATATGTATCACCGCGCCACATAATGGGAAGGTGCTGTAAAGTCTTCAGTTGTCGTCTAAATATTTGAAAGTTCATCGAAGCCCTTTGAATAAGTCTCACATTAATCATTTACAGGATGTCAAAATGTAGTTAGGAAGATGGTTCTATGGCTGCCACCGTGATGCGCCCTGCATCTATATCAAACTCAGGTTAGCTTATTCAATAATTTTAGTTATTGATACCCGATTTTAAAATTAGATACATGAATTTTCTTAATCTCATAATCTGATAACGTTTTGAAGTAAAATGTTACTCAATCAAACAGCGTCCATTTCTAAACCTGAAAAAATTTTAAAATTACATAAAATGTTCAGGATCAAACATGTCAAATCCGGGCGGGAAGCGCTACAGGATAGAGCGAACATTGGGAGAAGGAACTTATGGGAAAGTTAAACTTGCTTACGATAACTACACTAGAGAAAAGGTAAAACTTCAAGTTTTTGATGAAATACTGTAGTCAGTTAATTTATTTTACCATTTAAATGGATAATCTTAAATTTAAATTCGTGAAAACCTTGAAAGTTTATATATTTCGGCTTAAGATGTCATTATCATATATTGTAGATTTTAGTTTCAAATCAAGCTATTCCAGACAATATTTTTTGTACAAAACATGTCATCACAATACATATAATATTTTGAGTGTAATTTTCAATAAAACCTTTGTTTAGTCCAGGAGTTAGTCCAGTCATTAAAAATATAAACTGACCTGGATTTTCTCATATAAAGAACATTTAAATTCACACAATGCACTGCTTTACAACAATGTCCAATATTTACAACACACACACACGTACACTCAAAGTGTTTCACATAACATAATATATTAAGGGGGCATACACCAAATCTGTCCAGACCAAATGACCTCATAGGCAGTTCAGTGACCTTCTAGCGCACCGTTTCCACACCAAAAAAAATTATTTTGAGAATACCCATTTTTGTAATCGAGCATTTCCTGGTTAGAGTGGAATTTTCGGAAAAACACAATTTGTTTCGTGGAGAGGCTATAAGTTAATCATTTCTTGCGGTATCGGGTTGAAATTTTGCTCGCCGTCTATTCACATCTATTTCAAGGTGTGTGAAAAATCTTGATATCGTATCTAAAAAGGCTGGTGTGTTATAAATTTTTAAAGTTAACAAAAGTCAAAAAGTTGAAATTGTCCTTTTCAGACTTATTTTAACCAAAAAGTCAGTCAGGGAAGATCGGATTGATTTGATGGTTGACATAAACTTGTTCTCTGAATTCTGGCGCAGTTTTTGATGCCCTCTAAAATGTTTTTCCTCATTTGTGTTCAGATCTATTGGACTTCAAAGCCAAACAACAAATTTAGGCACATTTTTCATTTTAAATATTTACTGATTTTTCTAAAATTTTGATAGGAATGTGCTAGTGACTTTTTGAAGGGTGCAAAATAACCGCAACTAGCACATTTATATATGAGGTATGAACAACAAAACACCCTAAAATGCTTTCCTTTAAAGTTATGGGAGAAAATGTGATTTTTTGGCTTTGCAGATAAAAAATCACATTTTCTCCAATAACTTCAAAGGGAAGCATTTTAGGGTGTTTTGTTGTTCATAACTCATATATAAATGTGCTAGTTGCGGTTATTTTGCACCCTTCAAAAAGTCACTAGCACATTCCTATCAAAATTTTAGAAAAATCAGTAAATATTTAAAATGAAAAATGTGCCTAAATTTGTTGTTTGGCTTTGAAGTCCAATAGATCTGAACACAAATGAGGAAAAACATTTTAGAGGGCATCAAAAACTGCGCCAGAATTCAGAGAACAAGTTTATGTCAACCATCAAATCACTCCGATCTTCCCTGACTGACTTTTTGGTTAAAATAAGTCTGAAAAGGACAATTTCAACTTTTTGACTTTTGTTAACTTTAAAAATTTATAACACACCAGCCTTTTTAGATACGATATCAAGATTTTTCATACACCTTGAAATAGATGTGTATAGACGGCGAACAAAATTTCAACCCGATACCGCAAGAAATGATTAACTTATAGCCTCTCCACGAAACAAATTGTGTTTTTCCGAAAATTCCACTCTAACCAGGAAATGCTCGATTACAAAAATGGGTATTCTCAAAATAATTTTTTTTGGTGTGGAAACGGTGCGCTAGAAGGTCACTGAACTGCTTATGAGGTCATTTGGTCTGGACGGCACAAACCACTGTTTTGGTGTATGCCCCCTTAATGTGTGTTGACTGTTGATTGTACAGTGTTGTGTACAGAGATACAATACAGGAAGCTTCTTATTATATTATTGTGTACCAGCTTTACAAGCCCATTTTCTACTACAGGGTATAATTACGCTGCCTAAATTACCCTGGCTCCTAATGGCACTGCTCAGCTAATTTGAAGGCCAAAATCGCACAATGTCTGATCCAAATAATTTTACTTATTCAATCCTTTTCACTTATAATTACATTTTAATCCAGAGCGTGTCCGCATGGTATAATCGACATGGTTTTGTTTAACTTTTATATGAGGAACTACACGGTAGACAATGCACAACAGAATAGGGTGGATGAGCAATACTTGTTCTACTCGATTACATCACACAAGAAAGCCTGCCACCTGTAATAAGCTCTAACTTCACAACATTTCCGTGCCAAACTGTTTGATTACTTCCTCAAACCAGCACTAATGTAATGTGATAGGCACAACAGTTCCACGTGTATTTTGCAGCTGTGCACGGAGCGGTCCAATATTTCAGTAGATTACAATTCTCTCACCACAACAACAAGGAGCTAGGTCTGCCAGTTTGGCTGATTACACAGCTGGTGTACCTAGATAACAACACTTAAACTAACCAGTCACCACACCCAGTTATATACAACTACAAATATTTAGTTGTCACACACTCTCTCTCTCTCTCTCTCTCTCTCTCTCTCTCTCTCTCTCTCTCTCTCTCTCTCTCTCTCTCTCTCTCTTTCTCTCTCTCTCTCTTTCTCTCTCTCTCTCGCTCTCTCTCTCGCTCTCTCTCTCTCTCTCTCTCTCTCTCTCTCTCTCTCTCTCTCTCTCTCTCTCTCTCTCTCTCTCTCTCTCTCTCCTCTCTCTCTCTCTCTCTCTCTCTCTCTCTCTCTCTCTCTCTCTCTCTCTCTCTCTCTCTCTCTCTCTCTCTCTCTCTCTCTCTCTCTCTCTCTCTCCACCCCCTCTCTTACTACAGTAAGTGGTGTGGTGATCATTATTATCAGCACTAATTACATAGCCTACTTCACTCTCACTTCACTCCATGTTCCGCTGATTAGGTTACATGTGTCAGCTCGACTGTGCAATCTGACAGCTAATAACTGTATCTCTCACTGCCCCCCCCCCCCCCCCCCCCCCCCCCCGGCCCCCTAATAAGTTAATACAGTCAGTACCGATCCCCGGAAACTATATCCTGTACATCAAATTCACAACTAAACACTCCGTTCAAGAAGCAGGATAGAAGCTCGAGATTAACACCGGCAACTCATATAACATCACTACTACTAGTCACTACGCATGACATTTAACGTGATTCTACATATTTTTCTACATATCATTAGAAGTATTACACATCAAAAATACCTAACTCTCCTTATTATTATAGGGTGCCCGGTGCAATAATAATACTCATTCCTCAGATTTACGTTTTTATATTAAAAAAGTGAAACTCCGGTAGAGGATAAAGGCGATTAGGACCCCTCAAAATAAACATTAAACATATACCTTGATCTGTTACATCCTCAATTAATGTAATAGATGTGTACAGTTGTAATAAGTTTAAACATTCTTTACCCCAGATAACTGTACACATACATTTAAGATAAAGTACATTAATTCCTTCCTTTCGCAGACTCATTACCCTGAATTTGTCTGGTTACCGAACATGAATGCCATGATACGGTGTAATGTATGTGATAAAATCTGCCCAGTTCAGCCATTTGTACGTGGTTATTCATATCTCGTACACTGGTCCTGTCGTGTTGTTTATTGTTATCCAACTGAATTCGGACAATTCCTGACTTATATCTAATTAGCTAATAGAGCTGTCAAACCTAGACGAGGAACTGATTAGTGTTTGAAAACTATAGTTTACATAGAACTCATTACTTACATAGCTTAGCTTGTACCTCAAGTTATAACCTTCAATAACATCACTGCACTACTACTAGTCACTACGCATAACATTTAACGTGATTCAACATATTTTTCTACATATAATCATTATATACATTAGAAGTATTACACTTCAAAAAGACCTAGCTACTTCTGCTACTTACGACTTACTCAGATCTGCTGTAAATAAATTAAAATTCAAGAGATCCAGTAGAATTAATTTATATAACTGAAGTTGTTTTCTAAATACTATAAGTGTAATGCTATAAAACGCGTACGCCTGGCAACATGGATAAAACTAAGAGCTTATATATTGAGGTCCAGGGATTATATATCATACTACACGGAGAGTGAAGAGAGGTAGCTTCATGAGACAATACACCATGTAACTGTATATTAGCTGATATAATAGTTATAGCTGTGTGTGTGTTACCTGTTTAACATCATAACAACACCAGACTGTTAATAAAACACTAATTCCAGTTTATTATAACAGAGTAACACAGTGGTAACAGAGTGCCGGGTGCCCTGGTAACAATGCCCTGGTAACAATGCCCTGGTAACAGTGCCCTGGTAACAGTGTGCCCTGGTAACATGGTAACAGTTGTGAGGTAACAGTGTGCCCTGGTAACATGGTAACAGCGCCCTCGTGACACAGTGACAGCTTATTAATGATAAACCCTCTTTCTGACAGGTAGCAATAAAGATCATCAGAAAGGAGAATGTTAAAACTAAAAAAGATATGGAGAGAGTCCGGAGAGAGATCGATATACTGTCTGTGTTACGACATCCGCACATTATAAAAGTTATTGATGGTAAGAAAACTAAAGAATTTTCAGTTAAGTTGACGTCAGGGATAATGATATAGTACCTTGCTGAAGCCTGCAATAAAAATACATGTAAAAAGGAGGAGAGGGTGTAATTTTTCGTGATCTCAGACTACATTTTTTATTCCTATTTTACAACCAATGTGTTGGATGAGATCATGGTTTTTAATAAAAATAACCTGTACTCGCGTACATTTAACGTAAAGTTGAAGCCCCAATATTCATCATTCGTTTGACAAGGCCGTCTAGGTCTGTCAATATCAGAATAGAAGCAAATGTTACTTGGTTGCGGTGGGGTTATACACATTACACACAATGTGTTGGGGTTATACACATTACACACAATGTGTTGGGGTTATACACATTACACACAATGTGTTGGGGTTATACACATTACACACAATGTGTTGGGGTTATACACATTACACACAATGTGTTGGGGTTATACACATTACACACAATGTGTTGGGGTTATACACATTACACACAATGTGTTGGGGTTATACACATTACACACATATATGTCGGAATATTATAATATTGTAAAGTTATATTAATATAAGATTTTCAAAATCGAATAAAAAAGTTTCTGACCTTTGACCCGCGATAATTTCGGATAGGAACAATATTTTTCCATGGGACCAAAAGCAGCTGATAGATATCACTCCCCTCTATCAGAAACAACTATAAAATCAATTTCGAGAGAATTTTGATGAAGACCCCCCCCCCCCCCCCCCCCCGGCCCCCTTAATGCTTATTACCAGCTCAACTAGCCCCAGTCATTCTGCTCATCTTATTGAAAAACCTTCTATGAGGGTAATTCTAAAGATTTATAAATCTTAAGAATTATAATTATACATCTTTTATTGTCAGGAATCTCAGCAAAAGACAATAACCTTGTATTCGAACTTTAGTAATATACTACGCTGAGAGTACCTATAGGCTGCAAATATTGCGTATTTTTCAGTGCAGCTTAACTACGGTGTTTATTTGTCTCCAAATTTTCCGCACTTAAAAAGTTTTAGTGTTTAGGCAGGTGCGGAATTCGCATTATTTGCTAAATATTAGCGCACCCACATGTTGCCTCTGCTTAGTGTTTAGGCCTAAAAGCGAACTTGTAAGGGGGTAGTAACAATAGTCTCCATAATATGCACCATGTGCTTACATAGTTACCACAGCAACCAGTTACTATGACAATCAGTTAATAATTTACCCATAGTTACCAGCACTCTAACAGACCCTAACAGACTCTAACATCACCATCCCCCAGTTGTGGAGACCCGTACAAATATAATAATAGTAATGGAGTACGCTGTGAACGGGGAGCTTTTTGACTACATAAACGAGAGACGGTATTTAGACGAGTCGGAGAGTCGCAAGTATTTCAGACAAATTGTCAGCGCTGTGGACTACTGTCATAAGGTATGTGGTTTATTGAAATGGGGATTTTACTTTATCTAAAAGAATTATGGCAAAACTGACCCGAAATTGGATTAAATCATGCTAAGAGTATCAACTATCAATTAATCAATTACCTCAATTAGCGAATAGTTGATGGATTGAAAAGGATATACATACCTAGATTTCTTTGTGTACTGGTAGCTTATTCTCCAAAACGAACCACAAAGTACCTCTATTCTATTTTTTACGTGATTTTCTTGCATGACCATTAGTCCTTGCTCTGAACAATTGGAAATATGCCAAAACCCGCGCCGGTCTTTAGTACATGTAATACAGCGTGTGGTATTACATCACCACCAGGCGTGATCATAGATATGAGATTTAATATTACTAGGCTACTCAAGGTTACATTTCGTATTTCCTTGCACTTTCTTCTCGGAAATAACGATGCTCGCTAAATTTAGATGTGGCATGAAATTGCGCGCTCCTCATTACCGTGTATTAGTACTCGTAGGAGATGGAGGACACTCTAAACTCATAGTTTATCTTTTTAAGTATTTTAGACGCTCAAGGAATATCCAAAAGTCAATTATGTGACGAAAGTATTTATAATTATTTACTTACTTACTTACTTACTTACGCCCTGGAAGACATCAATTTAATTATTATACATAAATATTTCCGGTTACGTAAAGTAGTGATATGACGCAATGTTTCTTGAGTTAGAGTAAATCTGCCAAACTTGATCGTTTACCCGCGTATACTCTGCAGATTATTATACAGCATCATTATATTTATATTACATTTAAAAACTTATCAAAAATTCTTAAATTCTAACATTCTTCACAACTTCCTTATTACCATGCTTGGTTAACAGCAACTGTGGTTGGACACCACAGAGCATAAGAGCACACCATCGTTCATGGGCGTACTCTAGATTCCATTATTTCGTAACATAACTCTAAGGATCACTTCTGAAGAATTCTAATAATTTGCCCATAATAGTATATTTGATGGTTTGTCATGCATAATATGCAACCATATAAAGGTGGATAGAGTACAGTAATATGTTAATCTATAGTAAAACATGTAGTGAAACAGTGAAATAGTGAAACATGGAGTGAAATAGTGAAATAAGCCTTGGATAACCCTGATTGGCATCACGTACACCACACTGTACAAGTTTTAAAGTACAACTGGTAAGCAGCATTGACAAGCCCACACACCCGGACACACGGAGATTGTTGAGAGCGGGAACTGTTGACAGGTTTTAGGCTCACGTGGGCGTGTCACGTGGGCGTGTCACGTGGGTTTTAACTTTCAGCGGGAGCTTTGCTGACGATGTACACTGACTAGAGCAGTCATCGACACGCTAGTGTTGTGTGTGTGATGGTATGTGTGTGTGTACGTGTTTGTTAAGTTATATGGGTATTGGTGGGGTATGTTGGAATACCTATCTATCATGATCTAGAGCTTAGCGTACTCCACAACACACATGTTATCTTTACACTGTATATTCCTTGATAAGGAGTGCAGTACCACACACATGTTATCTTTACACAGTATATTCCTTGATAAGGAGCACAGTACAATAAAGTGATGCTTTACTCGCACGACTCACGTGATTGCTAACAGTACAAAGTAAGGAATAAGGATAAGAACGGTTATTTGAGAAACATAACAGAAGCTGAACAGGTATTGAGAATACTTGTTTTAGTACCGTGACGGAATATGATAGCTGTGATTATTTTAATAAGATTTTAGACTTGTCAAACCCTATCCTCTTTTCTACCGTCTGTGTACATATCAAAAAACATCACGTTATTAAATTAAAGCAAGCTTCTAGTTTCGGGATAGCCTGTAGCAGGCAACGCCCGATACTAATGCTTCTACAGACCTACACAAGTGTAAGTTAGTAGGTAAATATTTCATGCTAGGCATGTGGCACTCATTACGATTTAAACCTTTTATTGAAGTTTATCGCTTTTCTCATCACGTGACAGAAAAAACTAATAAGACAAAATGGATTTTGTTGTGAGAGCGGGTATTTTACTATGAAAATATTTTGCTATTATACTATGAAACAATGAAACTATTTAATACTATTCCTATTCTATAGCTTTGGGACAGGTATTTTGATCTGAGACTATTCCTAGTCTATATTTATAGTCTACATCTAAGTCTAAAACTCCCTTATTTTGACATCACGAGACTTGAAATCATCAGCTGTTAGTCACCTGTTAGTCACCTGTCGCGTACTGACCTGTAAATATTGAACTGGTACACGTAACAGATATATTTAGGTTTCATCGTCAACCAGCACCTGTCCACTGTCCAATACCTGTCTTCAGCTGTTCGGGCATGACTCCAATATTTGAACATTTTTGAGAGTTTCAGAATTTTTTGTTACAAGCACGATCCAATGTGCATTCCAATGTTATTCCGGACCCCTTAGGTCACTACATATCTCAATCATGTAGCATGTTAAATGTATTAGAAGATAAACCATGTAGCTTTTTTAATGATACTCGTGGAACTAGTAACAGTAAGCGGAAGTGTTTATTTACTGCATAAATTACATAAAATGTGCATAAATTACCAAACTAGTCTACAGTATTGTACTTTGCTGTTAAAATCGTTTAGAGATACTTCTAGAATCAACACGTTATAGTAGTCTTTAAGAAGTACGAAGAAAGAATAGTGGTTTGTGGTAAATGAAAAACATGTGGAATGCGGTACGTCGTATTATTATATATCCGCAATGAATGATACACGCATTTTCACTAAATCTAAATAACTCATCAGTCGTCATCAATATATCATTCATTTAGAAATTTAATCTGTAGGTATAGAAGGATGTATAAATAACTCTTTAGGGCAGCCCCGAATTGAATTGCCGATTTTATCCTGCCACATTGAAGGTCCTTTGGAGCCCCACATTTATCACATTCTGACGGTTAAACGAATTATTGCTCGATATTTAATGTCTCAATTCTTCAGAATCTGATTGTTCACAGAGATTTGAAGCTAGAGAACTTACTACTGGATAAAGACATGAATATCAAGGTAATCTGTCAGAAATGTATGTGGTTACTGTTTTGATATTTTGTCATGATTTTACTGTTATTTATTATTAAATTTATCAGTCACTGTGCCACAAGACATTGTAAAAAACAAACTATTTATAGATTTTTCATTATTGTTGTATATTGTCATAAAATTACTGGTTATTTGCTGTAAAATATCTACCAGAAATATAGTGAAACAATTAACAAGAAATAACTTTACATTACAGATAATAGACTTTGGTTTGAGTAATCAGTACGCGCACGACTGTTTGCTGAACACGTTCTGTGGTTCCCCGCTGTACGCCTCTCCAGAGATGATTCAAGGAAAAGAGTGAGTAGGAAAATATCTTTAGATGAAGGCTCCACCCTCTGTTCTTTAAACTAGTAATTTCTAAACTTTAAATGTGTTATATAAAGCTATTATATTGCTACTCCCTGGTACCACGCCTACACGTCCCCACTCAAGTGTAGGGAACTATTAAAACAAACGGAAACTTATAACACTGCAATCTCATATCACCAACTATGATGTACTCACATTTCCATGTAGTGACGTAGTATCATCTAGTCCCCGGTCCCGTGTATATTTACGTCATCTTCATTATACCCTTTAAATGCAGTTGTGGGCGGTTTTGAAAATTAAATTGTGACGTCATAATGCCCTCCCAGTTAAATTAATCCTATTTTGGATAGCTTTACTTGAGAAGAAAGTCAAAAACTTCCATTCAAACCTTTCAACATTTTGTCGCAAATTTTCATAATTATAATGATACTCTAAGGTCACGAAAATGTTAACATCCTACTTTATTTATATCCGACCGCGGCCCACGCTATAAAACTTGGAGGACGTCCAGAACAATGAGAAGCTGATTGGCGCAAATTTAGTTCAGAGAAAGTTTGTCACATACGTTTTTTATAATCTGATGTATTGTACATACTGTACTATTGTATTGACAGACACCGCACTGTTTGTATTGTCAAGCATTTCTTCGCACGTATATATATTTGATAGTGGTTTTTAAGAAGTTTCATTAAATTTGTCTTGTCATGCGGTAAGTGAGACAATATACTAAATTGTAAGTAGTCAACTTTGAGCAGCTTTTGAATGTGTACATTATTATTGAAATGTTATGTTGAGAGCTATGGTTTTAATGAAATACAACTTGTCAATGACCGTGGGGCCCTTCTTGGAACAAGCACTTGCATTCAAATTGTTATAACATCATGATGTACATTTTTAAGGTAATATAATTCAAAATTAATATTAATTCTGAACAATGTGAATTTACGAATATTATCCGTTAAGCCGTTATATTATAATATACTAAAACCACAGCAATCATGACATACTTACAATCCCGCCCAACGTTGTCCGCGTTACCATGACAACGAAAAACACAGCAACATTACATCACCTAGCTTCTCAGTGCTCACGTTGTCATAGTTACTGCGGATCATTGTTCACCGCACAACTCATTATCTCATTACCGACAACTAATTATTAATAACCTAATTAAGCACGTCTTAAAAACGGCTTAATCTGTGTTTACCATTAGACATCTATAATTATCTCTGGGATTACAGACGTTTTTCGCAAAACTCGTGAGATTTTCTGTTACAATTTGAGACAGAGATATAAATGTAATTGAAAAATGTAAAGCTGCTGAGACGGAAATATAACGTTGCAAGGTATTTCTGGCTCCCATAGACCGTGTAATAATTATGTTAAAATATTAGTAATATCTTACTAAATATATTATAATTACCTTAATTACGAAACTGGGATTATATCAAGTTCCTAAGTTTAAATTACATTAGTTATCATAATTTTAATAGTATATATTTTAAACTTACGATACATTTTTATGTTAATTAGTAATAAACAAAATAATATCGTTCGCCATTTAACTCATTTTGGATGAAAAGACATAAATTCGGTACAATTAGATATAAATCATAATTATAGCATCAATCTATCCGTTCCGATACTGAATGCCTACTCATTCGGCTGCTATTATAATGATCAATTTTGAGAGCAGCAAATTGTTTTGACTGGCAACAAATCCCAGTTAATTAGTTAATTGCTTGCTAATTGCAGGCTAATTGCCAGATAACGTGCCTATAATTACGGTATAATTGTGCAAATATGACGGTGGATCCAAAAGTCAGACCTAAATTTAGCTCAAACGAAAATAGAGCCGTGTGTACGCGTAATTAGATTGAACATGACTTATTGAACATCACCAATAATATTCATCAAGTTTGGACCTGTGCCAGCTATATAATAACTTGAGATGTTAACTTTAATGGTGTCCATCAGAGCTGGGTTGTAATACTGCTCTCTCATTTCAAATAAGCTGGGCAATTAGTCAAGTAACGTGTGAACAATGCTGGGAATGCAGAATAAGGGCGAGCATTTAGCATTCCTGGTTTTCTTATCCCTGCTAGGGTAGAACCAACTCTGTGCTAGGGTAGCAGCGACCATTATAAAAGTATAAACATCTGGACCCTGATTCTTATAAACAGTTAACCAGTATTCCTGGAAGTAAACCAGCACTGAACGCATGTCCTCACTAAACAGCTCCGAAATACCCCAGTTAAAGTGACATGCCAAGTTGGCAGTACCACTGCTAACATCACGTGTCCACTGCTAACATCACGTGTGCAGTACCATGGAAATACGCCCGGTTTGTGTTGTAACCCAATACCGGTGTTATCATTTGGTGGCAGCTGCTGCTGGTGGTGCTGGTGTAACACACTGCCTTGTACACATCTCGTTTTAACACAATTATATCTGTCGAACATGAGGAGATGTCAAACACTCCACGCTTGCTGCCAGGCTAGAAGGGGGTTTCTAGTGTCAGGTTATAGTAATTAGTAGTGGGGGAGATCACATAGCAGAGTATGAAAATACTTTGCGATTACACAATTGGTTTTCTTCGGAGCCTCTGAATGGACGATTAGACGAGCCTACGAGACTTTGTTACCCATGCGTACTGTAGACTTGAGAACGCAGTATGATTGGTTTATAGACATCAAGGGGTCTTAAGACGGAGCCGCAAATTGAATGATTGAAATAATTATGTTTCAGTTACTTTGAGCGTATAGAAATATTTGGATCTATCATTCTTCGCCCAGCGAATTAAGCTGGTTATTTGAGTGGAAATCTATTTTTATCTTCACCAGAATAGATATAATTTGTTATGGTCGTGCTTCTCACCACCCTGGTCCCCCTCATAACGCTGAGCAGTGGGTGTCGCTGGTAATTAACCAGGCCAGCAAAAAAGTGTTGTACTGTTCTCCTGGCGAGAGAGAGAGAGAGAGAGCAGTTAAACAGATTCTCTGCCGGACAGCGTGACGTCACCCCCATTAAATCAGCGTGGTATTTAACAGTACCCTGTTACCTAATACCTGGTCTGTCTAGGGGGAGTTGTTTAGAGTGTCTTTGTGGTATCATGTTTACTGGAACAAAACTATCTGTTTTCTAGGGTAACCTGGATATATCTCTGTTTTGTGGAATTAACCAGAACAAAACTCTCCAGAGGTATTTTCTACTAATATTATTTGTTCCACAGTACAATTATTAAAGTACATATATTAGCATACCTCTCTACTAGTCAGGTAGTCTGGTCACGAGGACCATGTTAACTGATATAGTGTTAGTAGTCTACAAGTTATTCTACAGTTCTTCTGTACCATGCAACTCTCATGTACAGGTTAGAGGAACGGTATTCTAGAGGACTACCACATCAACACGGCTACTTAAAGGGGAGTATATGTTAAAATAAGTGTTAGTAAACCAGAAACCTACTTCAGTTACATAGCATAGTGTACCCTCAGACTCTGCTACTTGCCGTGTACATTATAATAGTGTTCCGTATCCAGACCCGCATATTACTATAGTTAAGTATAGAATTGTTGACTCCCCACATTAGGATGCAGTGAAACTATCGGACTACGATGAATGGGGATTTGCCACCCCATGGCAACATTATAAGATTAAATTATATTGACTTTTTGATTATAAACGGGAAACATCGTTTCCTGTTTAAAATATAATACTCCAAAGCTCATTGTTATTCAATAAAAAGAGGTCACGTAATGTGATTGTTGATTTGTGACAGGACGATCATACCTGTAGCTGTACAGTGTACGTGGATCCCATGGATCTGTTATATAAATCATTGTTTTCTTTTAAGTGTACCGTATCAAGGTTACACAAATTTGAATTATCGTAGCTAGAAATCAGAGTATACTGTGAAATGAGAATCATATCAATAAATCAAACAATAGTCAGTAATTAGGTTATTCTAGCTTTCTGCCAGCCCAGTGGAGTGCAACTTATTACTCCAGTGCAGTGCAAGTAGATCTAATCCAGGTGAACCAGGGTAAGCGTGTTACAATGATGTAAGATATGTGACGTAATCCTATAGACTAGAGAACACTATAACACTAGAACAGCTCTAGTCTATTCTACAGTTCCTGCACTGTGTTACAGTGTGACGCTGTGTAATTATCCAGTGTGCCACAAGGGGGGTGATGTCACACTCCTTGTGGCACACATCACGTGATGTCACACTTTCTAACAACATCCCTTACTTCCTGTCTCATTTCAATGATACTGATGTTGATGATGTGTTAGAAGTAGTAGTGTGTGTGGGCTGTGTGTTACGTCGTTATAAAACCACATATCTCATTATTTTAGGGGTAGGCAGTGCAGAACCCATACAATGTCCCGCGCCGGGAATGTGAAATATTTGAATTAGAAACACTGTCCACACGAAAGGTATGATATCATGTTATCTGCCCGGAACAAACATACTACACGCCCATGTCACTCTCTCTTACTGTAGAACATATACACCGTCAAGTCGGTAAATTAGAGTTCTTTTGATTTAACGAGAGCAGTGACGTTATGGTTAGGAATGTCATTTTCTGCGCGGCACGTTCTGGATCAGAGGAGTTTAAAGTTTTTAGAGCTTCAACTACCACGCCCTCCAACATAGGTACCTGGTACGTACAGAGAACAAGTAAACCAGTTACCAGTTATAAGTAACCACTTACCAGTTACCTGCACTAAACTGAAATAGTGGAGATTCATGGTGCTGGCACACTTATACTGACTGTAATTGTTGGGAGTTACTGAACCATTATTTCTTATATTGTTGAGCTAAACTTTGGGTATGTAGAATACTTTATTGTTTTCTATATAACATGTTGACATGATCCCTGGAGATAGTAGCTAGTTGAGCATGACAACTGAATGAAAGAACAACCAAATAAGGTACCAAGTGTAGATACTCAAATTCATATTGATAATACTTCCTGACGACAATCCACGTATCATCACTAATTCACCATCATCAGTCTCTGTAGTCAACAAGTCATACAGCACTGAGCACTATGTTTAATTGATTTCACTTATCTGTGCTATATCTATAATAACCACTAAGATAAACAGTGCTCAACTACTAAAGTACTACAATAAAATACAGAACAACTATGTTATATTTTATTGGCTCAGTGCCAAGTAATCCTTCTTGTTAACCGCTGTTGATCTGTTATAGTGTCAAGTAGTAATAACACACAGAGAGAGAGAGAGAGAGAGAGAGAGAGAGAGAGAGAGAGAGAGAGAGAGAGAGAGAGAGAGAGAGAGAGAGAGAGAGAGAGAGAGAGAGAGAGAGAGAGAGAGGGAGAGAGAGAGAGAGAGAGAGAGAGAGAGAGAGAGAGAGAGAGAGAGAGAGAGAGAGAGAGAGAGAGAGAGAGAGAGAGAGAGAGAGAGAGAGAGAGAGAGAGAGAGAGAGAGAGAGAGAGAGAGAGAGAGAGAGAGAGAGAGAGAGAGAGAGAGAGAGAGAGAGAACTTGTTAAGGTGTGTCACACCGTCCACACACATATTGTTTCATCACTTCTCACGTACACTATATTACTCTTGTTGACTGTTTTTAATTCTTCAGTGCTCACACAAGATAGGGAGAGAGAGTTCTCTAATTTGTATGTAGTAAGAGTGAAATGCGAAAAACTTTCGGAATTTTACCGAATTGAGGAATAATGCCCACGAAAAAATTTTTAAATGTTTAAACTTCCGCGTAGAAATTGGTTTCAAAAGGATGAAAACATATAAGGGACGGAAAATTAGGATAAGAAATAGAGGAGGGGAAACAAGTACTAAATGGCGAGTTGATGAAAGCTCGGGAGAGGCAACATTTTTTAAACCGCTCACTTAAATTTATTACACTGTCTAGAGAACTGTAGAATAGTGTTTACTGTAACTCAGAATCATCACCAATTTCTGCTTCAAGAAACTTTTTACAGAAATTAAATACCCTACACCGTTTTGGAATTATCCAAAACGTGAGTAGTGGCTGGACTTACAGATGACCCTAAACACAAGTGTTATTCTCCCCTGTAAAGTGTATACTGTACTCTGTATACTAACTCCTTATTTACAGGTACCGAGGACCCGAGGTCGATTGTTGGAGTTTGGGAGTTGTGTTGTACACACTGCTCTGTGGTACCATGCCATTTGATGACAGTGATATGAAGCATTTAGTTGAGAGTATAACATCAGCTAGCTATCCTCACCCTAAAGGACTTTCTAAATGTGAGTTGGAATATTATATTGGAAGTTTTACAACTAAACTATTGTTTGTTCTATCATCATTAAATCATTAGTTAAATATTGATGAAGTGAACATAACTTACATTGTACGTGTTATTTGGCAACTTGTTGGTCATGTGTGTAATATGTGTACATATTGTACATACTGTAGCTGGCTATGTAACTTGGTAGCAGCTGACTATGTAACTCTGATTGCCCACTAAGAAGTTGTGTATTTTATGTTCTGTAATTCACATTCACTAAACGTAAAATCTTGAGTATTTAATATGTCACGTTGCACATAACATGTAAAATATTTGAAAACCTTTAGCTGCATTGAATTACAGCAGTGCGAACAATATATTAATGACACCTCAATCTTTATCATAATATGTGTCCTTTGTGTCCTATAATCGACATATCATGCATATTTTACAATCTCGAACGATTTTTTAATTCAGTTTTTGTCTAGGTTTGACAGCGGACAAAAATATCTGGATAAACTCAGCATATCATACCAGACATACCTTGTCATTTGTCATATCAATTAAACATCACACTGTTCAATGTGCAACTATTCGCTGTGTAGGCTCTGTCTTATAATGGTATATTGATCTGAAACTCAAGACAACGTAACATTGGGCGATATTCCCTCCAATTGTAAGATTATTTGATGTGTAATTGTACAGGGCGTTTACTTAAAACCCTCCTGTGAAATGTATTTCCACTGCGGTAACACAAAAGATTGTACAAATTGTAGTGTTGTATATAATGTACTGTAGGATGTTTGCTAAAACCACGTGTTTCCAATAGCAATTACCTTCCACCAATGGCATCAAGTCTATTTATTATCGCAAATATTGAGAATTAAGATGTCAGCTAGAAAATCAACCAAAATGTAACATGTGATGTAGTTGTCTGGCGTTGTACATTCGGTAATTCCGCGAGACATATCGGGTTAGTAGCCATAAGGAAGCCATCTTTGATACGATATATATGCTTTAACATATCTAGTGGTTAGACTGTGGAAGCTTTAAAAGTTCTCTGTTATTCTCGACATAAGTCAGTCTTATAAATGCAGCTGATTTTTGTTTTGTAAAAGTCTTGCTATGTATAAGAACTAAGAAAGTTTGCCGGCATGGTAAAAGGTACAGTTTTAACTTTTATCTCGCATTGTTAAAAGTATCGGATGTGATATGTTTTAACGGAAATCATTTATAAAACTTGGAATCTGTCCAATATTATAATGCATTTTAGATGTTACATAATGCAAATTTATGGTGAATAATTAGTGAAGGTCACACAATTCCAACACAAATCACATATGCATCACGTACACACAGCGCAAATGTTCTAATATGGGAGGATAAAATCACTGCTGTAACGTAATTTGAAGATGCCCACTCACAGGTTGCAATTGTCTACTCTTCCATACCCAGCTAAAATGTCAACAAATTTGCGTGCTTTCGTACGTAGTGCGCGAACACATTACGGCAATATCGTTGACTTCTTTTCATAGCCCTATCTGCGCGGCTTTACGCGCGCATAAGCCGCGCAGCTAGCTATGCAGGGTTATGCATGCATGCAATGCATGATCGAATCGGTCGATCTGACATGATCTGCATGCATGAGCAGACATGTCATTGACTTGTCAATGTGAAAAGGTACAAATTCTATAAAGTTAAATAAGCAGATACCTTACAAGACATATTTATGGCGGCCTAATTTGCGACGACCGAAATTTTGGCGGTCCGAAAATATGGCGAAATTGAACAAAAACCGTCAAATTTCGGACGTCACAGAAAATAAGGGTATTTTTCATCATTTTTTGTGACAGTAAGCAGTAAGGAAATTTCTGAAATTCGGTAAAATCATGTTCAAACTTAGTCTGTATTAAGACTGTAAGACTTTCATGTTAGCACATACATGTATTTTAATGCAAATTTAAACTGTATTGCTTGACATTCAATTCTTCATTGGTGTGGTGATTATTTGTCCCAAGATGCCAGAATTTATTTATTTGTTTTACTTGATATTACTTTTTAGAAACAAAATAAAGCAGTGAAGGCAGGGTCATTGAAATAAGCTAAAAGATAATGCGACGGATTCTATTACGACGACCGAAATTTTGGCGGTCCGAAAATATGGCGAAATTTTCGGAAAACCGCCACATTTCGTACGTTATAAATATGTCTTGTAAGGTAGTTAGTATTTACTTCATAGTAAGTATGTATGTTCATTTGAAATGCACCATAATGCCGTAAATACGCTGTAAAAATAGTCATACCTTATCTGTAATTTATCTTCAAAATGATAACATAATATTCTGTTTCAGCTGCACTGGACATGATAGCGCGACTACTACGAGCAAACCCGAAAAAGAGAGCCACGATTGAAAACATCCGACTCCACCCTTGGACTAACGATGGTTACTCTAAACCACCGATGCAGCAACCTTTATCTAATATAAACCACAAGGACAGACGTCGTCTGAGTAGTAAAATATCGTGTCTTGCGGAGACTCCAATCAAGGGTATGACTCCTAGTAGTAGGACTAGATCAGACTCTAGGCTGAACGAGAGAGGGTCTATATCTATGAAACCCCGTACTCCGTCGTCCTCAATGCCAAGGCCATCCTCAACTAAATCGAGTGAATCGCCCACTCCTAATCCTAATGCTAAGCGGCGACTGGTTATGGAACCTAGTAGTCCTCAGCCTTCAGCTATGAAACCTGTTTCAGAAGAACCCGAGGTAGAGAGACCTAAATCAGCAAGTGCTATGTTATCTAAAGTTCCTTCTAAACCACCGAGACCTAGTCGGTCCAAGTTGGAGCGAATGGGTCAAAAATCTGATAATAGAAGTGGCAGCGAGTCCGATAGTCGGAATGCTCTTACTCCAGAATCAGCCCTAAAACGTAGCTCAAGTCACGGAAACAAAGTAAAACCCTCCTCTCCGGACGACAAATTCAAGTTAACACCAGACCGTCGCACTTTGTCTGAAAACACATCTTTAGCTCAGTTTAGTAGCGATTACGAGCGGGATATAGATAGCTTCAAGCCCCCTGAAATCAAGGATGCCGGGGAAATAACTATGATTGACTCAGAGTCCAACATGTTCGACGGGTTTGGTGGTAGTACTCGGAATGTCTACTATGATCCGAACGTCAGGAATATCACATTAGAGCTCAAAGAGCCGAGCATTGTGATTTCTCCTACGGAACCGAAGCAAGATAACAGGACCCCGATACCAGAGGAGTCCCCAGTCGCCCCAAAAACCACGCCAACTCCGACCAACCCTCCTCCACCTACCAAGAAGACAACCAAGAAACCTGTTGAGGGTAAATCCTCCCTACCAAAGCGAGATACCGGTCCCAGTGCCCGTTCAAAAGCTGCCATCAACAAGACAGGTCTAGGGTCAAAGCGTCCCGTGGGAAGGCCATCTGACAGTACGACACAACGAGGGAAATCTGCTGGTACTACCCGGGATAGACCAAGCTCCGTTAAGAACAGGACCCCTGTGAAGAGTAACACCATCACTAACCCCAGCAGTACTCCTAGATCCAGGAGAAACTCCGACATCATCACCGGGTCTCTGTCTAACTTGTCTATAAAGAGCGAGACCGACAAGTCCTCCTCTTCCGAGACTGGATCCAGGACCAGGATAACTAGGAATATTTCCACTGCCCCCTCTCCTGCTAAAAAGAACCTGAATATCAAGAGCAGGGTAGACTGTCATAGATCCGGCAACCCGAAGAAGGCAACAAACACAAGCAGTGGATCTGGCGAGATTATCAAAAAGAATGACAAGGAAAAGGAAAAAGAAGGCGTCAAATCTAAGATTTCAGCAATTATCACCAACCGTACCTCGAAAACCGTAAATAGGAAATTAAGTGATGCTTCTCTGGCTTCAGCGCCAAATACACCAAGATCGAAACGTGCCAATAAAGTAACGGTGAGTTAAAAATGTTCATATCCAATTGTCAATGCTAGAAATTTTAAAACAGGGGGCATGACCATCTCATCATTGAAGCTTTCTTTTACGAAAAATCGATGTCGAAAAGGGCAATGCCCTCCCCATGAGGGATTCATGGATTATCTTTATCTCAATCGAATCTTGATAAATTAGATTTTGCTATGATAATCGCAATCTTGACAATGGTTCTTTGGAAAATTGTACACTTCTTTTATTAGAAATGAAAAGAAACCCCTCTTAACAAATTAGTGAGTCATAAGATTGATTTTTAGTCTTTCGGCAATTCTTGCGAGTTCTTGATTTCAAGTGATCGGAGTGACGTCTTCCACCATCTATCTGATTATTTATCAGTTTCAGCATATCTAAAAAGCTATCGATTTTTGCATGATTTGATCGTCTGAAAATGTTTCCATGCAAAGGCAGACAAAATAACACAGGTATAATTTAGTAGTACCATAAATTTGGTTTTATAAATACTAGTAGCAATGTCTTAAATATAAGGGAGGTAAAGGTAGATAAAGCAATTAATATTCATCGTTATCTTTCTTATCTGAAGTGAGTGTGAAAGTGAGGCAAATATTTCTCTTCTGCTGTTTTCGTGTGTTGTCAAATTGCATGCTTAATTCCAGCCTTTAATCGTGAGATTTCGAATAATAGTTTAGTTTAAAATTCAAATCTACTGCCGTTAAATGCAAATAATATAGTCTATTATTTTACGGCCGGGATGGACATTCCCGTCTTGGCTGAATCAAACGAACTTGTAATTAAATCATTGTGAACGATTAATTAGCTATTGCCTTATACTTATAGTTATAATAAGAATCACGTGAAAGATTTTTTAAATAACCTTCCGCAGCATTTAAGAAGCAGAATAATCATTTTAAACAATCATAGCACTATTGAAATTAGAATACCTTCTTTTCCTTCACGATATTTGAACTTGAAATTATTGCCTCGATGAATGAATCTTGCCCTTGTTATATCTTACTCTGGTTTCTCTCAATAAATTCTATTTTCTCACAGGGAGAGAAGACGCCTAACAGGAACAGTATGTTACCGAGGTATAAAGGGTCGGGCACCACCCCAACTTCCACGCCCCACCGAGCCAGGTCTAACACTGAACCGGTCCAAAAACTTACCAACGACATCAAGAAAATGCCCTTCCGCTGAGCTGAATTTGAAAAATACTCTCATTGAGGGATGCTCTGATTTATATCTGGTGAACCCAGTTTGGTTTTGTATTATGTGATGAGATCGGTGGAGACAAAAGAGTTTACGAAGTACCCTCCTAGTTACCACGAAACCACCGCGAATACACACGGGGCCCGTCGTGTGATGATATTACATGTACATAGTATAATAAAACTGAATGTGAAAATAACACGAATCATGTTGTCATGGTGACTAACTCGTTACACTATAGTTCACCACTTGACGTCCAGACGACCAAGTATTTGGCGCGCAGCGAACTGATTTTGTGCACTGCGGTTATCTTTAACCGCGCCGAGTTACCGCGCGCTGGTACGCAGTGCATTAAATTTGTTGGTTTTGTGCCAAATGATTGGCACGGTAATGATGTTAGCTTTAATCTAGTTCTTGTGGTTTTTGTGAACTAATTTAATGATGTCCGAGTCTACTACATGAAATGATGATATATAACTTGAGCTATTTAAACTGAAGGATAAGAGATATTCTTCTGGGGTGTTTTATATTGTAATTTTTAGAACAATTAATTCCAGTCTTGTGTGACTGTTGTATGATTTTTATACATTAAATCTAAGAATTTCTAGTCCAAGCTTCAAGTTCAATATATGTGTGGTTATTTGCTTAATTTGGAAGGATACGGCCAGGGGTTCAACGTTATCTTAAACATTAAACTTGAGCCAACATTTCAAGCCTTACATGCACCGCCAACTTATAAAAATAGAGTCCCCTGTTGAAATTCAACAGTGTTGAATGTTGATGGGCACGGTTTATCCTATTTCAATACAAAATAAGCATCCTTTGTGACCTCTTCTACTTTTTGATGGCTTCGCGGTCCAGTAGAGAATGCACCTGTCAGGCCAGGTAACGTCTGAAGAAATAAGTATACCATTAGTTTAGCATATTTAGATTTGTGTCTCGCCCTCAGACTCAGAACAAAGAATCTTAATTCTTCATCACTTAGAACAACAGATACCTTGTGTTGTGTGTACTGACAATGAGTATTATGTTAAATGGGCCCAGGCCCTAGATCATATTCTGTCTTAGCTTTGTGCCTCGCCCTCTGTCCAGAACCAAACTGACCAGTTTGAAAAGGATCTCTGCGCACGAGTTTTCAACCTCAGACACCACCCTACTCTTTGCTTGTGAGCAAACAGCTCTTATTTGAACAACTTTACGAGACAGAGGCTGGCGCCTTCAGTAACCGATGGGACTTATTATCACATAAATTACATGACAACTGGTACCGACGTGTAATTACTCCGGACATACTTGTAAGTGCAGTGCACGTGGTTCTTAATGTGCATGTGGTGGTGCAGTGTGATGAGAACAGACTGCTAGTGATAGGTCGATGATATGTATGTGATCCAAGAGCAATGTCAGGTCTGAGTCACTTCTCATTTGCTGTGCACTTTCTATGGTTATAAACTATCGCGAAATAATTCGAAATGTTTGTTAAATGTCAACTCCAGTGCGACGCTGAACTTGTAGTTGCACAGCGTACAGTCTCATTGACGGATTAGATGGTACTCGCTTTAAAATTACTGAACGAAGTATGAAGATTGAAGTAGCGCGCCGGGTCGAGGTCAGTCCACTAACAATGGATGAAACAACTAATGAAACAACATATACCCGTACCCCTTAAATGTTCATTTTCGGAAATATGGCTGAAAACCCGATTTTCGACATAAAGTCTCATAGAGCAACATAGCATTTGTTCCAAAATGCAAAATGACTTACTTTGTGTCCAGAATCACCTAAAAAGTTGAAGAATGATCTAATTTAAAGGGCATCTTATCTCTCTTAATTTCTGTTAATAGCCAGGCCCACAGCATATTTGAGTTTTACGATGATGATGAGTTTTACGAAACAACATTTATTCAAAATTTCAGTTTCTTAATGTCAAAGGGTCTTTTTCTGACATCAAATTGTTCGCAATTGCCGACTCGTGCACATTATATATTCGAATTGCTCAGTTTAGGAGTGATTGTAGTAGAGGCTCTTACGGGCAAAAAGACGTGTTTTCTGCTACGAGTTTAGAGACCTAACCGCTAATTGGACACAATAGTATGATGTCTAAGGATCGATAATATGTTAAGAAGTATAAATTTGGCCTTATTAGTCACGTGCTATACCAATGCGCGTTTTAAACTTTGACAGTCTATTACTCTAAGGCAAATAAAGTAATTATATCCATATTTTGTCAGCAATAAGATCACATTATTTTCTATTTAGTGTGAAAATATGAGCTAGAACGGACATAATCTCGCTGAGTTATAGCTGTTTGAAATTTATGATGAACGCGCGGGTGCCAATTGATAACAACTAAATGCTTTTGCGCGTAGTGCGCGTCGAAAATTTGGCAAAAACGCTTGCGGAGTGACAATATTCAAACTTCGATTAAGTATATGAAGTGGGTACTTCTCGGAAAGGAAAAATTTAGGCAAACACGATGTGACTATTTTTGGGTTGATTTAATACAACTGCAAAAAATTATTCAAACTTAAAGCAAAAAAGTCAAAATTTTTACCACTTTTTTGGATTTTTACCTCAGAACAAATAGAGGGATTTGTTTTATTTTTATACAATCTTGTGCGGCTGTCTTTTAGCTATCTTTATGCAAGTTTTGCCGACATGCCAACAAAATTAACTTGCTCAAAATATCAAAAAACATGGTTTTTTGGCCTATTTTTGGCCCAAAAATCGGTTTTTGCGATTTTACCCCAGAACAATCAGTCCAATCATCTTGAAACCACTTTCAATCGATTCTACGGTCAAAAATACGTCTAGTAAGGTGTATCTGGGGTCCCTAACGTATCGAGCAGACAATGCCCGTAAGAGCCTCTACTATTAGTAGATAACTACTGCATGATAATTGTGAAAACAAAATTCAGCATAAAAAGTTTAATCCATGCATACGTACCATTACATAAAACCATGATACCAAAATACCGGACCAGGCATTACATACAATTACAAATATCCAGCGAAATCAAGTTTTTTTCTCCGAAAGTGCACCCTCCTAGCACTAGCACATAGCAGCAGTCCAACTACTTCTGTAGAAAAGCTCAACCATGTCTATGCTATATACTCTTGTATCACGTTGCGACCCCCACGGTCGTTTCACTTTATCGTCCTGACGATACAGGGGGAGCCGTGCGCGGCGGGTCATACAACGTATGACAAATATACTCTCATTTCGTCTGATTTACCAGATTTTGTGACACTTTTCGAAGAAAATTTCGAAAGGATACAAATTTGCGGATAAATGAGTTTTGAAACGATTTTTGAGATAACTAAAATCTATGGTAATAGTATAACCAGCATTTTAAAACCGATTGCATCTAATTTTACTCCTTCATAGAATTACAATTTTAAATTTGGACATGAGTCTTGAAACACCCTGTACTAGTACTACAAAATTACAAAACAAATAGTTTAAAGAAGCGCGATCGCGATGTAACTGAGTCTGAATCGATATATTTTAATCATAATGTTACCATGGGGTGGTCATTGTCACCATTCATTACAGCCCAGGAGTTTTACCGCCTCTCTATTATGACAAACAATTGATACTCCATACGTTCTTTGAATGAAATATAATAAACAGATAGTCGATGCCCTTTACTTGCCTCACAGAGGGTCAATCGGTAACTTCAATTACAGTTACGAGAGCTGACAATTGCATGACAAATGACGTTGTTAATTTTCTTGGTTGACGATGTCAACCCATCGAGATCGTTGCTCTGCGAAGCAGAGCAACGATCGACGATGCGAAGCAAGAATGCTAGTTCGCGCGGCGCGTCGAAGCGGCGAAGTCCTCCAATTAATTTTCCTCCTCCAGGACCAAAGTCTATATCATTTGTCTTTGAATTTTTTCCCTACTCTTGAGTCTTGCCGAAGGCAAAAAGATCGTAGGGAATAAGTAATCGGGTTTGGATATATGATGTGGCCCGATGGACCTGCGCGTTGTAGGTTTACAACCTACAAGGACGCGCGCCGAGTTGGACTCGTCGACGGTCCAATATATGGAACAGATATTTTACGAGTATCACCCGTTAACCTGCGCGATGACGACAAAAGTCTGCTCCTTCGCAATATAGACCACTCCCCTATATTATGAAGTGCATGTATAGGAAGCGTTTGTTATGCTGCGCGCGACGCTAGCCATGTGTTAATTAATTTCAGTGAAATTCCTCCTTCGCAAAGTTATTTTCCGCAATTTTCTGGATTCATTTATTGTTGTTGCGCGGCGCTTCATTGATCAAATAAATCGTCAATTTTTACCATGCACGAATCCCACTTATTTATAAAAAACATAGTATGTAAATATGGTGCACTTTTTTTCCAGTCACACTTTTGACTCAAAAGAATTAATGGTACAAGTACAACTACATGGTAGGGAAAATTGATCGTGCGTGGTTTAACCGCGGCGAAATTTTTGTTTTTCTCGGTTTCGAGTAGAAGCATTTTGCCGCAAATTCAATGTCGAAATTCAATATTCGCGGAGTCTATGAGCGAAATTAAATGGTTTTCATTTTATATCTGAACATCTTACTTTTAAAACTTTTCGATTGTAGACCTTCAGATTAAGTGACGATGTCAATTCATGGCAGCTCGGCGCGGCACAGTAGCGCATCTCGCCGATCTAGCGTGTCGCTGTGAGAAGCCTTATTGAGTGCGCGGCGCGGTACAGTAACGCATCGCGCTACAAACTTTCAGAAAGCATTATTCTGAATCAGAATAAACAAGCTTAACGAATAACTGCTGATTAATTAACTTTTGATATTTTACTGGGCGGCGCTCAGCCTGTCATTCCGCCGAATCTTTATTCATAATGAACATAATTAATAGCCTGGGGTCCCCAGGTAATTGATATTTGGTTAACTATCGTGCTGTAATGCTTCCAATGCTTCCAATGCTTCCAATGCGATATCAGGCTCGCTAGACTATGAGTTTGAGTATGCAATTGTATCGCCGATACATATTCTAGCGAACCTGATTTTTTAGATGCATCATGCAATGTCTTAATCGGCGCGGTATTTGCAAGATGTACTCAGTTCTTGTTCGACAATGTTTTCCTGATTCACGACTTTTGTGCCGTAGGAACTATTGGCATACTTTCGCTCTTATCCATTATCTAACCATGGCCCTCTCGTGTGATGCATTACCACCTGGGAACAATTAGACTGACAAATATCGTAGAAAGTTAATATAAATGAGACATTGGTGATAGGTAACTCTTCCATCGAGTCTTCAAGCCCTATTCTCTCAGAATCCTGAGAGATCATAGAAGACAGGAGACTAATAATCTCCCTGCATTATTATGTAAGATGTATAAAATTAAAGTTACATTATATATATTACATGAGCTGAGAAACCAGCCTATTCAACAGCAACCTATTATGTGACCACGTTCTCTCAGCTGGCTCTCCAGTACCCCCCTCGCCCCTCGAGAGACTGGGATCATCATTCTTTATAGAGATCTTAGTATTTTCCCGCACGCGCTAGTTGCAAAATAGTAAGGCTTTTGATTGTCACTATCATGATAGTGACAAGTAAATTGGAGTGAGTGCCGCAATAATTATAAATAAGTTGTTTCGCA